AGGGCTCTCATGACAGTACTCATAGCTAAAGTGAATTGAAATGGAAAATGGGTGTGGTAATCAGCTTTTCATGCTCTGCAAGGCTGGGCATGGTGGTACACATCTGTAATCCCAGCACTTGGAAGTAGAAGGATTAGGAGTTCAAGGCCATCCTCAGCTGCATAGAAAATCAAAAGCCAGCCTGAGCTACATGAGAATGTGTGGGAAGGAAGGGAGGGAGGAAGAGAGGGAGGGATGGAAGCTGAGATGATTTTAAAAGAGGGGCTGGAGAGATGGCCCAGTGGGTAAGAGCACTTGCTATGCAAGCACAAGGACCTGAGTTTGGAACCCAGAACCCATGTAGGAAAAGAAAAGCTGGGCAGAGCCATGCACATCTGTGACTCTAGCCCTGTGGGGGACAGAGAGAAGAGGAGCACTGGGCTTGTCGACCACCAGTCTAACTCCAGGTTCAGTTAGGGACCATATCTCAAGGGAATAAGGCAGAGCTCAATAAAGGAGGATGTTCAGTGCTGTCCTTTACCTTTGCTCGCATACACATGCGCATGCATGTACCTGCACAAACGCACATCCATACACCACACAGACATATACGCAAAAATAAATAATGGATAGGAAAACTTTATTTGGCTCACAGTTTTTGAAGTCCACAATTGGTCAGCCCTGTGGTTTTTAGGCCTGTGGGGAGGCCACACCGTCATGATGGGGAGACCGTAGTGGAGCAAGGCTGCTCACCTCAAAGCTGCCAGGAAGCAGACAAGGGAGAATAAGAACAGACCAGAGTCCCACAGTGCCCTCTGAGGGCACACTCAGTGACTTCCTCCATAGACCTTACCTTCCAGAGCTTCCATTACCTCAATAGCACTGTGGGATGGAGACCATGGCTTTGACACATGGGGTCGTCAGAGGATATGTATTTAAACCAAAGCACCAGGCCTGCAGATTTCTTGAGCAGATAAAACCAGTCAAGAGCTGGATTTGGTGGTGTGCACCTTTGATCTCAGCACCCTGGAAGTAGATGCAGACAGAGCTCTGTGAGATCAAGGCCAGCCTGGTCTACATAGCTCCAGGCCAACCAGAGCTACATAGTGAGACCCTGTCCCCTCAAAAACAAAAATAAATAAAGTTTAACCTCAATCATAAGCAGCCAACTTAGGACCATGTGACTCAGGGCTTTCCGACAAAGAACCTCAAAAGGTGATTTTATTATTGCAAACCCATCAAAAAAGTCCTTTTGTCTTTGTTTTCCCAATAAATACCTGTCTTTGTCAGTTTGTCCTTGTGATGCTAAACCACTTTTGATATACCCCAATTGATGAACTGCTTCTTCAGATAAACTCTACATTGTGTGTGTTACGTATGTGTGCATGTGTGCCATTCTCATACCACGGTATGGTCAGAGGACAACTTGCAGAAGCCAGTTTTCTTTCTTCTTCCCCTTGTAGGTTCTGTGGATGGAATTCAGGTCATCTGGCTTGGTGACAATTGTCTTCATCCACTGAGCCACCTGGCAGATCCTGACTTTTCTTTTCCCTCATCAAGCCAAAATTGTCTGAATCCCCTCCTCTCCTAGAGATTGCCTAAGAGTTCCCCGAGGTGTCATCACAAACCAGGTGTTCCAAACACCAGAGAAGGACCAACTCTTTCACAGTTCTGGAGGCTGTGACCAAAGCAGTTTTGATGGGCTGGAACCCAGGTGGCCACAGGGCTGTGCCTGCTTCCAAAGCCGACCACCACCACCACCAGAAGACTCCCCTCTTCCTCTCCCAACTCCTGCTGCCTGCTTTGCTCTGGATTCTGCCTCTACCGCCACGTGTTTTTTAATGTGGAACGCTTGGGTGTCATGCTTGGACAGGGACCATGCTAATCTCTGCATCGTTCTAATTTTAGTATTTGTTCTGCCCAAGCGAGCACTTATTTTGTTTTTGGAGACAGGGTCTTGTTATGTAGCCCTGGCTGACCTGACTCTCCTTTTGTAACCCAAACTGGCATTGAACCTGCTGCTGTCTCTCTGCCTCAGCCTCCTAAATGATCAGATTACAGGTAAGTGTTTCAATAGCCCAGCGGGAACCAGTATCTTTATAGCCATCCTTCCACCTCTGATAGGCAGGCAGAATGGGGGAAGGAATAGGCAACTCCTCTAAGCTTTGCCCTGCATTAAACTCTTCTGGGAAGGGGGAAAATTCACTATTTTACAGCTGACTTTCAAGCCAGGTGTGGTGGCCCAAGCCTGTAATCCTGGCATTTAGGAGGTGGGTATACAAAGATCAGAAGTTCAAGGTCATCCTCTACTACATAGCAAGTTCGAGGCCAGCCTTGGATACTTGAGATCCTGTGTCAAAACAAAACAGCTAGGTGTTGTGGTACATGCCTTTAATCCCAGCACGTGGGAGGCAGAGGCAGGCAGATATCTGTGAGATCAAGGCCAGCCTGGTCTACATAGCAAGTTCCAGGCCAGCTCTGTCTATAGGGAGACCTGGTCTTGAAAAGATCAAAAAATAAAATTAAAAAAAAACAAAAAAAACCCACCACTACCACAACAAAGAACCCTGACTTTAAAGCTGAGCTCAGTGGCAGAACTCAGCATGTTTAACCCTGGGTTTGATCTACAGCAATGTAAAAACAGAAATCACATTTCACCTCTGAAACTTCCGGCCGGAGCTTAGTGGCTATTTGGGGTATGGTTCCCAGAAACATACTAAGGTGGACGAGGTTTATGGAGGCAAGGGGTTCTCAGGAACACCCGTAGGAGGGGCGTGGAGCACAGATGGGACACCCCTTTCCTAACTGGGGTATCTCAAGTATTGCAACACCCCAGCAGCCTAATGTGGCCACAGGACTTTGATGGCCTGTGAGTGATGAGTCTCCTGCAGTGAGGGGGCATCAAGGAGCTGTGGAGTTGATGTAGTTTATGATCCCAGTTCCTCAGCTGGTTGCAGAGCCCCATGGAGCCCACTGGCTTCTCTCTAGGGAAGGGGACGCTCATTGAGTATTTTGATCCACAAGAATTTGATGAGGGCTTGCTGGGTCCAGGAATCATTTGGGGTACAGGGGACTCAAGAGTAAATGGGAAGTCCCCCGAGGGAGCATGGTCCCCTCTAGGTCTCTCCAGGTTCCTTTCATGCCTAGATGGGAATCTATCTACTCACTGTGCTCTGGAAGGGCTTAGCACTCAGTGATGCTCCCCAGTCAGACTCTCCTTCCTGAGCCTGGCCCCTGTGTGCACACTGCATATGCAGAATGACATCTACACGCTGAATTCTGCCACTTTCTGTCCATCCAGAGGGGCTTTTAGGGTCTTTCTGACCAGCCCCCAAGAGCAACTAACTCTTCACTAAGTCCACTGTACAAGAGGGGATTTCACTACAAACCCTAAGTTGACTAGTCTTCCCCAGGCCCAGCTCCATCTCCTAGGTTGTTCTCACAGTGGTTCTGGCAGCTTTGGGGGTCTTATGGTGCAGCATGGTGCCACATATGGCATAGAGTAGTTCTGCGTACAGTGATAGGAAGGATGTTTGCGGGGACTGGGCTGTAGCTCAGGTGGTAGAGTGTCTGTTTTGGCATCCATGAGGCCCTGAGTTCAATCCCCAGCATAGCATAAACCAGGTGTGATTCATTCTGTCTCAGTCTCCCAAGTTCTAAGATCGCAGGCATGAGCCACCACACCCAGCTTTTTTGGGGGCGGGGGCTTTAGATAATGGGAATTGAACCTAGGACCTCAGGCATGCTAGATAAGCTCTCCTCCTGAGTTATATTCCCAGCCCCTACCCCCTTGTTTTAAACTTTTTTTACACAGAGTCTAAATTGCCCAATCTAGCCTTCAGCTCACTCTGTAAGCACAGACTAGCTTACCTCAGCTGGGTTTTTGGGTTTTTTTTTGTTATTGTTGTTTGTCTTTTTGAGACATGGTCTCCCCATAGCCCCAGCTGTCCTGGAACTCACTATGTAGATCAGGCTAACTCACAAAGATATGCCTGCCTCTGCCTCCCAAGTGCTGGGATTAAAGGCATGTGCCACCATGCCCGCTGTTTTGTTTTTTTTTTTCCCCTTCGGGTGACAGGTAAATATTGTATATTTATGGAAGACAATATAACATTTTGTTTTGGTTTTTGAAACACTGTCTCATTCTGAAACCTAGGCTGGCCTTGAGCTCACAGAAATCCTCCTGCCTCGGTCTCCTGAGTGCTGGGATTACAGGCATGAATCGCATATGGTTTACTTTGCCCTAGGTAGGCATTACTCAAAGAGTCCTAATTGATTAATATTGTCATCTTACCAATTTATCCTGTGTGGGGGGGTGAGAATGCTGAGAATCTATTTTAGCAATTTTGAAATATACAATAATTATAAGATTTCCCATTTCTGCTCTCTGTGCTTAGCCAAGATGGAGAACAGCTGGTCGACAAGACGCAGCAGGTTCACGCCTTCCTTACACGTGTTGCCCACCTCTTCTCGTGCGCACAGGTTACCCGCAGCTGTGAGTGACTAGCTCATCAGCAGAAAGGGGATGCAGGTTGCTAGGTCCCACCCAGGTCCTGCCAGACCCAGGAATTTGCAGGGCTAACTAGCTCCCCTGACCACTTCTGAGACCATGATAGTCCTTTGCCATGCTTCCTGTCAGTTTCCAAGCAGCACACGCTAGTACAGAGGTCCCCAGCCCGGGAATGCAGCATCCTGAGAACAGCCCCTGACAGCCCCTAATTCTCCATCCCGGCAGCTCCAGCCTCAGAGGCTTGGCCCCTGCAGGCACCAACCTAGGGCTGCGGAGAAATTAGTGCGGAGTCTCTCCTCTCCCCTCTCTGTCCCCTTCACCTCCCACAGCCACCAGGAAGCCTCCTGAGAGAAAAGCAGGCACACCTGGGTGGGACTGAATCTGCCCACCCTTAACAAGGGGGCGGGCTAGGGCGTTTTCCACCCTATTAAAGAGGCAGGCAGGACAGCACCAGTGTCCTAGGAAGCAGCTGTGGTGGGTAAAAGCTGTGAGGGTGGACCTGAGAGTGGTCAGCTTGGACGGTTCCACCATGTCCTTCCAGAGCACTGTCCGCTTGTCCCTGGACAGCCCCACCCGGGTCGTTTGTGTGCTGGGCATGGAAATCAGCTTGGACATCAGCGGGTGAGGCTCGGAGGAAGTCCTTGGTAGGGGGCAACTGCAGGGAAGGGGCAGGGTAGGTATCAGCTCCTGTACCCCAGGATGCTCAGGGCTTTGAGGAGCTTGGTTTGGTCTCCAGGGGTCCTTCTATACCATTGCAAGAGTTCCCTTAGCACTGAAAGTGGCTGTGAGGAGCACCTGTGTCCTGCACTGCCTTTCTCCCTCTGGGGACCTTGTGTTTCCCGCATACCTTCTTGTGTAGGAGATTTATATACAAAAGTCTATAAATTAAAGCTTTGGCCAGGAGTGGTAGTGCTCGTTCTTTAATCCCAGGGGAGGTAGAGGCAGGCGGATTTCTGCCAGCCTGGTCTACATAGTTCCAGATCAGCCAGGGCTGCACAATGAGGGCCTATCTCAAACCAACGCCCCCTAAAAAAAATAAAAATAAAATAAAGCTTTATTTCTGAGGTGTTGGTGGGAGGGTAAGGCTGGGGCTGGAAATTGTCACAGAATGGGCTCTAGGGCATAGCGTGGTAGAAAGACTGAAAATATTAGGACCCCAAACTCCCCTAACCAGCAGGCCACTACCTCAACCTCATAAAACATATGAGGACTAGAAACTGTCCTCCATCCCTGCTGCCTTAGCCTGGTAAGGTGAGTCTCTCTGCATCTTAACGTGCTTCCTCGGGCAAACCAGGTGTGCACCCAAGAAATGTGAGTCCTTCACCATCCGAGGCTCCCCAAGGGTCTTGATCCATATCTGCAGCTCAGTCATCACGGGGAAGGAGGACTCCATAGTCTGGCAGCCCCTTTCCCAGTCCACAGAGGCTCTGGTGAGGATGGTGTCACCCAGCCCTGCCGTGGATGAGGACAAGGTGAGTGGGGGAGAGGAGGAGGCACCCGCTACTCCACAGGTGATTGATCTCAGTGTGGAGACCCATGAGCCTAGTTGAAGCCGTTGGGACTGAGTGGTCAGCACAGGCTCAGCTTCGGCTGTCTCTAGGCAGGGAGGCGGGATGAAGGACCCGGGTAAGAACCAGGCCTTTGGTAAATCAGATCCGATGCTTAAACTGGGCCTGGTGTCATACATCCATCAGCATGGCTCTGTTCTGGTTGGTTCTCTGGTTCATGATGGTCTTGTGGTCAAGGCCAGGGCAGAAAGGCAGGTCTCTAAAGGGGCAAAGGCCGTACAGGAAGGGGAGACTGGTCTGAGTCACTGGACATGCTGACTGCCAAGTGAGCAGCTTGAGCTACTGGTGACCCATTTGTCCACTGCCCGCCTTACTGGAGTAATGGGTAGGGAGGATGAGAACATGCAGAGTGGGGCAAAGCTCGGTTCTAGTCTGGGTTTCCAATATCCACACTTCTTTTCTGCCTGAATGGTACAAGGTATAGCTTCTCCATCTCCTGTCAAAGGTAGATCACCCGGATGGGTGTTTATGAGCCTCAACGTAGAAGTGGCTGGAAGGCAGTGGCAGGTGTGTTCTGAAGGACTTAGTCCTAAGTGCCCTGAGCCCATTCACAATGGGTCCCTGGAGGCTGAGATGACTGAAACACAAGGCCAAGGTCAAACACGTCCACCCAGTCTGTGGCCTTGGCCTCTGCTCCTAGGCCTTCATGGATTCCGGGGACTGTCTCCACAGGTGCTGGTCTCGTACTACTGTACTGATGAGGAGACCCCTGCAGCCACTGCTGTGCTGTACCTCACTGGCATCGGTGAGTCTTGGCTCCCGCTGGGAGCGAGAGCCCAGCTTTTCTCTGGCAAGAGGTTTTGCCAAACAAGGGCCTCCTTGTAAACTGTCTCCTGGTGGTCCTGCGCTTGTTCCAGCTTGGTCGTCCCCCCATCTTTCATTGCTGCTGACCTGATTTCCTGAGAACAGAAACAACCAGACCTTGCATGAGTTAGTCTTCTGTGCCCCATCACTAATGACAGGGCTGGTCCAAATTTGTCTCATCTCATCAGACCCCTTTGCCTCTCATTCAAGAACATTCCTTTAGCAACTTCTAATCTTGGAAGGCCTTCCTCCTCAAACCCCCCCCCCGGTTCCATCACCCCAGGAACAATCTAACATCCCTTAATATTGAGTCTGTTACCTTTAACACTTACCCACTACTCCTTGAGACCCATCTCCATCAACCCCCTGCCGAGTGTTTTTGCTCACACGTAAATGTACCACATGTGTGCAATGCCTGAGGAAGTCAGAGGCATTGAATTCCCCTGGAACTGAAATTAGGGATGATTGTTAGCAGCCATGTGGGTGCTGGAAATTGAACCCGGGTCCTCTGCAGGAGCAGCCAGTACTCTTAATGGCTCAGTCATCTCTCCAGCCTCTAATTCAAATTGGGTACTTACCACCACTATCTCTTGGACTGTAGTGGCTTTTTAAAAAATTTTACATATGACACGTGTGTGGACTCATGTAGGCCAGAAGAGGGTGTCAGATACCCTGGAGTCTGGAGTTGGACTGTTAGCCACCAAATGTGGGTGCTGGGAACTGAACTGGGGGTCCTATGCAAGAGCAGTAAGAGTTCTTAATTGATGGGCCATCTTTCTAGCTCTAACAGGTCCTTTATAGGAATCGAGTGCCCAACTTCATCTTTCTCTGCCTTAACACAGGCATTAGATTCACCTGGGCATCCTTTCAAGACACACTCCACCTGAAACATCTGATCCTCCCCAGGGCACTTGCCAGGCCCCTTCTCCCATAGCTGGCCACAAAAGCTGTTCAGGCTGATGTGACTCAATATGTCACAGCTTTCAACACTTTTTCAAGCCAGGCAGACCCCTGTAGACACATGGTTATTGTCTTCCCAACATAGGCTCTTGATTCAGTTTAGGCTATTAAGTTAGACACTTTACCCTGCCCCCAAGCCTGATTTCTAACAGCTTTTCCATTGCAGCAGATGGAGCTCCATCCTCTGGCTGCTCAGGGTCACCTTGGTCACCCTTTGACTTCCAAGACCCCATGTCCATTTGACTCTTGGTCACCTTAAGTGTAGCTGGATGGCAGGAACTTGGTTCCCTGCACTCATGGTTCAGGCCACCATCCTCCTAGATCTCCACCGGTGTCTCCTGGAGGGTGCCCTTGCTGTCTATCATTCTGTGGGTCCCGTTTTGGTCCAACAGCTGGAAGGTCCATCTTTAGGAGGATGTCAGACAATAGTGCTTGGGTTCCCAACCTTCCCGCTGCTGCTGTGTGACCCAGATCAAAACCAAAATCGCCCTCCAGGAGCAGCCCCAACTACCTGATTTCAGCCTATTTCTCCCCCCCCCCCAATCCCTTCTATTCTGGCTTCATTGGCCCTTGAATGTGACATACGTACTCTTCCCTCTAGAGCCTTTTACTCCAAATATTTTTCTTGCCCCTTTCAGGGCTCCATTATTTCAATTTTACGACTCCTATGACTAAAGACAAATGCCCAGTTCCACTCCCCAGTCCCGTGCCTCTTGGCCCTTGTTACTGTGTCAATATAAGGGCTTGCCAATGCCCTACCTCTCTGCACACTTAAATAAATTCCAAGAAGACACTGTTTTGCATACTGCTATATCCCAAGTAGCCAGGCTCACGATGGGCACTGGCCCCCATGCCTGCCTGCTGTGGGCGCTGAGGGTACAGCAGCAAGTCAGGGCCAGGCTCATGGCCCTGACCCTCCAGGTGCAAATGGTCCCTCAGATGACAAGATCTAGGAGCAAGGCCACGGTAAAATCCCAGGGAGGTGTGCTACGTGGGGCTGGGCACTGGGATGCCTCGGCAGAGGGGCTGACACTCTAAGGAGGCTGAAGTCTGGGTCCTTAAGTCCCCAAGGGGGCCTTCCTGTGTGTCTTGGAATTCCGAGAACTTTCCAGAAGGCTAGGGAGGTGGGTTCTAAGTAGGAATTACTTAGATGAAGTCAAATATCTTGACCTGTGCCTTGGCTTTGAGTCAGGGGGAGGAGACTTGAGTTGCGCTCAAGAAGCAGTCTACATTTGACACTTTGTCTCTAACTCAAGTGCCCACTTGTGGTCCAGGATAACTATGAGCATATCCCAATATAAAATCATTATCTTAAAACTTTATTGTCTTGTGAGCCAGGCGTGGTGGTGCATGCCTTTAATCCCAGCACTTGGGAGGCAGAGGCAGACAGATCTGAGTTCAAGACCAGTCTGGTCTACATGGTGAGTTCCAGGCCAGCTGGGGCTACAGGGAGACCCTGTCTCAAAGACCCCGCCCTCCAAAAAAAATTGTCCTGTGACTTGATTGTACAGTTCTCTAGCCTGAATTCTTTTCACATGGCAACACTGTTAGGCTTGTGACCAGCATCAGTGTATGGCTTTTGAGGGACCACCCGGAGTTTCTGAGCCACCCAGTCCAGTCTGGGTTGCTGAGCCCCTCCCTTCCCTTTCAGAGGTCTCTCTGGAGGCTGACATCTACCGAGATGGACAACTGGACATGCCGAGTGACAAACAGGCTAAGGTGAGGCTGCTTGGGCACCAGTGCAGGCCAGGGGCTTGGAGAAAGCCAACCCCGGCCCCCAGAGTCACTTTATCCCCGTCTTTTGGGGTATTGCAATTCCCACTGCTGGACTATGAATCAGAGCTGATAGTAAATTCTTGACTTGTTGAGAAACTAGAGAATGGGGTATGGTGGCACATGTCTGTCATCCCAACAGACAAAGTTCAGTTCAAGGTTATTCTCTGCTACGATGACAAGCCAGTCTAGGCTACATGAGACCCTGTCTCCAAAAAAACTTAGAAAACCAGATATGGTGTAATCCCAGTATGGGGAGGGGGGGAGAGACTAAGGCAGGATTGCAAGTTTGATGCCATCCTAGGCCACAGAGAATGACCCTGTCAAAATGAAACCAGGGGCCAAAACAAAACTTAAAAGACCGGGTCTTAGCTGGGCATGGCGGTGCATACCTTTAATCCCAGTACTTGGGAGGCAGAGGCAGGTAGATCTGAGTTCTAGGCCAGCCTGATCTACATGATAGTTCCAGGCCAGCTGGGGCTACAGGGAGATCCTGTCTCAAAAAGACCAAAAAAAAATACTTGGCTATAAAGTAGGGTTGGCTACCACCCCTGGAACTCAGTAGACTGTCTCCTGCCCCTTGCCCCTGTCCCTGCTTACGCAGACACTGAAGCAAAATGGGTGGCTGGGACCTGGATGTAGTTTGCCCACCTCCCAGTTGCCTTCTGCTCCTGCTGGTTCTTTACCTCTGTTTCCCAGACTCCAGGGAAAAGGTTTCTCTCTGCCCTGTGGGAGGCAGCATCTGGAAAGCCAGAGGGCGGGTTTACTTGGCTCTTTAAGCATTCTGTCATTTGCAGAAAAAATGGATGTGGGGCCCAAGTGGCTGGGGAGCCATACTACTTGTGAACTGCAGCCCGACTCAAGCGGGTCAACCCACCGGCCAGGATGGCAAGATTTTCTCTGAAGGTATACCCTTGATGTTCCCGACCTTTCCTCCTGGATTCTGCCCACCCCTCAGCACGTGCAGAAGGCAGCTGAGCGTCTATCTCCCTGGGGTGATCAAATCTTGTTTCACAGGTTGGGTAGGGATGTTGCCCCATGGGAGCATGTGCAAATGCCCTGGGTGCAGCATTCCTGGGATGCACAAAAGGTTTCAGGCCTTGAGGCTATGTGAGGAAAAAGGCCACATGGTCCCACGCAAGGAGGGGCGGGGGTGGGGGTTAGGGGTATGTATGTGATGTGTTGAGACGGGCTCATGTAGCCCATGCTGGCCTTGGTCTCTGTAGCCCAGAGTGGTCTTGAACTTCTGATCCTGTCTCTCCTGAGTGCTGGGATTACACATGTACTGCTCCACACCATTTATGGGGTGCTGGGGGTAGAACCCAGGGCTTCATGCTGGACAAGCACTCTACCAACTGAGCTATATCCCCAGCCCCTGTGTGTTTGGAGTCCCCCCCCCCACCCTGAGACCAGGGGTGTCCTGTAGCCCCAGATGGCTTGGAACTTACTATGTAGACCGACCAGACTGGCCTCAATCTCAAAGGATTCACCTGCCTCTGCCTCCCTGGGTGCTGAGATTAAAAGCATGTGTCACCATGCCTAGCCCTCCCCTACCGCAAAAACATTTAATGTCTGATAATGACCTATTTCTGAATTTGAGCACACTAACTTCCTTAATCTCATTTTGCTACCTGATTGGTGGGAATAAGCTGGTGTCACAAGGTGGTGAAGACTGGTGATTCCATAAAAGGGGTGTGGGACCAGGAGGTGCAGGCCAGGGCAGCCTTTACAGCATCCTATGAGCTGAGAGTCCTCAGTGGGCCTTAAAGCTGGATGTGGTAGCTCATGCGTGTCATCCTAGCACCTGGGAGGTTGAGGTGGGTGAATGAGTTCAAGGCCAGCCTGGACTACCCAGCTAGACCTTTAATGCAAGCTCCACCTGTCCCTGCTGCTCCCTGTCCCAGCCCTGGGGCATTGGCTTGAACCTGTGCCTGTTTGTTGTGTTGTTGTTGTTGTTGTTGTTTTTTGTGGGGTTTTTTGCACAGAAATAAAGAATTTGTCCCGGATGACTCTGAACGTGGAAGGCCCCAACTGCATCTTAAAGAACTACCGACTGGTCCTCCACACCTCTGAGGAAGAGGCAGCAAAGACGAGAGTCTACTGGCCCCAGAGTGAGTATTCCTGCTCAGCCCTACTCCACCTCAGTGTGCCAGGTAAGAGATGCCCTACACACCTCCAGCAGAATCCCTGGAAGAATCTAGAGCTAAGTTGGGAACTGTTGTGGCCAGCCTTAAGATTTGTGTATCTGTGTATGCCACGTGTGAGTGTTGGCACAGGCCAGAAGAGGGTGCCAGACCTCCTGAAGCTAGTTATAGGCAGTTGAAAACCACTCAACATGGGGGTGGGGAACAGAACTTGGGTCCTCTGGAAGAGCAACATGAACTCTTAACCACTGAGCCATCTTTCAAGTCTGAGGAGCCACCTTATTTTTGGCCCTTTTGAGATAGGGTCTCCCTGTAGCAGCAGCTGGCTTGGAACTCGTTATGTAGACCAGGCTGGCTTTGAACTCAGATCCACCTGCCTCTGCTTCCGAGTGCTGGGATTAAAGGTGTGCACCATCATGCCCAGCGAATTCACCTTCTTAACCAAGACCCCACTTCCAGAACACCAAGGATAAGAAGCCAGGGTGACAGTTACAAGGGGACCTACATCCCAGCCAGCACCCCATCCCCTCTTTACCCAGGAGGCAAGTGACAATGCCCTATCCCCCAAGTGGGGGCTCTGATGGCTTCGAAGGTAGTATCCAATTCCAGCGAAACATCCTTGAGCGAGTCTTGACTTCTCTTCACTGGCTTAGTTTAATCTTTGCTTCTGGAGGAACAGCAATATGCCGCCTCCTAGAAGCTGGGGTTGGCTTGGTGGGGCACCTGGAGCCCTGTGGTTAGTCCCTTCCAAGAACAGGCATGTCGCTGTTGCCGGCATCAGAAGCCTCCACGACTTCTATACCTATGCCCAAGGGGACTGTCTTCCCTTCAGCTCTTCAGGCCAGAAAGCACTGATGGGCTTGGTCGTGACACTAGGAGAGGCTGGATGGAGCCCCTTCCCTATGAGCTCCCATGAGTCTTAGAGACTGATGTGTCTAGATCATCTGGTTCAGGCCACATAACTCTGCTGGCTGGCCCTGGGAGGCCACCAAGTGTGAACAACTTGGAGGCAGCCTGGGCCAGACCAAGAGATGGGTGCAGCCTGATAAAGGCACTGTGCCTCAGTGTGTAGATGAGGAGGGCTGCTACCTGCTTGTTTTACTGAAAGTATTCCAAGAATGTAGTGAAAGGAGTCTATATAGCTCAGGTGTGTAGAGTACGTGTGTGGCATGGCCTGAGTTCTAGTCTCAACATTACATAAAACGAGACACAGTATCCCATGTCCTAATCTGCACACTCAGGAGGTGAGGTGAAGTCAAGAGGACCAGAAGTTCCACGTCATCTGCAGCTATATAATGAATTCAAGATCAGCCTGGGATACATTACTTTTTTTTAATTTAATTTCATGTGTATGCATGTATTGCCTGCATGTAGGTAAGTGCACCCATGTCATGCAATGCCCGAGGGAGGTCAGAAGAGGCTGTCGGATCCCCTGGGACTGGAGTTATGGACAGTTGTTAGCTGCCATGTGGGTGCTGGGGTACAAACCCGGGTCTTCTGCAAAAACCAGTGTTAACTGCTGAGCCATCTCTACAGTCCCTGCCTTGGTGGGTTTTTTTTTTTTTTTTTTTTTTTAAATAACCCTGGCTGAGTTGAGGTTCCCTGGCAGGCCACAGGAGAAAAAAAAAAAAAAACAAAAAAACAGCTGATAGTCTACTTGTTCACTTAACTAGGCCCTGAGGCCTCTCTGACCAAGGAAAGCACAGGTCCCTGGAGCAGGAGGCAGTCCAAGGCCTGCAGCTGTTTTCTGAATGGGTAGTGCCAGCCAGGACCCAGTCCACATCATTGGGAATTTCACAGTGGGGCAGCTGGCTCTGTGGCTGATCATGAGGGCTTACTCTGTGTGGGGCCCTGGTGAAAGCCTGTCTATACCTTGGGAGGTCTGGTTTAAGCCGCTGAAGCTCGTAGGCAGGAGTCTGCACAGGGTACACTTGACCGGCCCAACACTCTGGAGGCCAGCAGCAGGACTGAGGCCTGGCCAACAGCCAGAACCACAGAATAGAGCTAGAAGCTGAGGAGTCAGGCCAGTGTCTGGCCCAGCGTGGCCAGTGCCACAGCAGCACCTACCTGCTGGGACGCTGGAGGAACTGGAACATAGGGTGGAGGAGGCTGTTGTCTGGCTCTTCCAAGTCTCAGTGGTGCAGCTAGGATTCCCAGCAGTGAGACACCACCTGGGGCCTTTGCGTGGGATCAGCCATCAGCACGGCAGCTGCCGCATCAGTGGGTGAGACAGACTCAGGTGGTCACAGCGAGGCCAGGGAAGAGGTGGTCTGAGTGGCCCTAATGGAAGAAGCCTGGTAGCTTTGGGTCATATGATCTCTGGTAATGGGAAATGACAAATTTGAGGTCTGGGTAATTGAAACAACCCTGACATGTGGACCCGCCCCCCGCCTTTAGGTCTCTGTGTGGTTTTGCACTTAATGGCCTACGAAATTAAAATGGTTTCATGTTAGGTGGCCATAAGAATTCTGGGTCTTTTCAGAAAGCTCACGGTCATCCATCCATTTCTGTGGACCGTCATGTGGCTGGCCTCCTGATGAGGCTGCAACCCATCTTTGCATATCAAGTGGCTCCCTTTTAGGACTTGATTATGATTTCCAAGTTGAGTTTGTGCATTCAGTGTGGAGCCACTTGTTTCAGGTAATGGAACACTTGGGCCGTAGAGTCTCCTAACGTGCTGTAGACCTTCAAAGCATGTTAGCGCAGAGGCTGGGGAGATGACTGTGAAGTGTTTGCTATGCAAGCATGAGGACCTGAGTTCAGGTCCCCAGCACCCACTTTAAAAAACCCGCACTGGGCCGGGCGTGGTGGTGCACGCCTTTAATCCCAGCACTTGGGAGGCAGAGGCAGGCGGATCTCTGAGTTCAAGGCCAGCCTGGTCTACATAGTGAGTTTCAGGACAGCTGGGGCTACAGGGAGCCCCTGTCTCAAAAAGACAAAAAAAGGCATGGTGGCATGTGTCTATAATCCTATAATCTAGGGAGGTAGAGGCAGGAGGATCCCTTGGGCTAGCCTGGCTATCCAGTCTTGCTGAATCGCTGAGCTCCAGATTCAGTGAGAGAGCCTGCCTCAAAAAATAGGGTGGAGAGCAACTGAGGACACCAGATGTCGACTTCTGGCCTACACATGCAAATGCACACAGGTGTACACACATATTCATACCAAAAGTGTGGTGTTGGTATATAACTGGCTCTTAACAGAGAGCTGGTGTCTCTGAGCCCTCAGCTCTGAACACGGGGATGGACACAGCTGGCTACTTTGGCACATGGCTCCCCCTTCTCGATCCTAGAAGATACCTCCTGTGACTTCGAGCTGGTGATGGGGCCTGGCAAGCCTTCCTATGCACTGTCTCCCCTTGAGGACCGTGGGAAGGAGATCTTCTATGTGGAAGCAACGGAGTTCCCATCTGCCAGCTTCCCAGGCCTCATTTCCTTCTCCATCTCCCTGGTGGAAGGGTCTCAAGATCTGGTAGGTTACCCTGTCTAGGAGGATCCTGGGGCTTGGTGGAGGGAGGTGTGTCTCCCACTGCTGGGTGGAAGATGAAAGGCTATGGGCTCTGTAGTGGGCTGAACTGAACAGCTACAGGCCCCTGGGGCTCAAGTAGGGGGGACCAGGCAGATGGAGCTGGGTCACCATGGAGACCTTGTCTTACATTGCAGTCAATCCCAGATATCCCGATATACAGAGACACGGTGGTGTTCCGGGTGGCTCCTTACATCTTCACCCCCAGTACCCAGATGCCAATAGAGGTATACTTGTGCAGGTAGGTGCTCCTGAGGCCGCCTGGGAAGTGCACATCACCAGATCTGTGCAGGGGCGGGGGGCAGGGCAGTGGAATAAAGATGTCCAAATGTCTCACCCGGAGAATAGACCTCACTAGCCCCAAGACAATAACCTAACGGGCATTTTGACTCCCCCAAAGCCGGCATGGAGCTGTGAATGATCCAGTCCTCCACCCTGCCTTGGAGGAGGGTCAGACAAAATGGCATGTCAAGTGCTAGAAAGTCAGAAGGATGTTTAGGGGGATAGTGAGGTGGCCCAGATAGCCAGGAGGAAGTGGTAAGGAACTGGTAAGAGGCCAAATCTGTGGACCCTGGGTAAGCACAAGGCCTCAAGGTCACACCCTCAGATACACTGGCATACATGGCCCTCATCTTACCAAGTGCCTGCAGGTAAGAGGGTGGCTTGTTTCACCATCAAGTGCCCTGGCTCCTTTCAGTCTCCCAATGCATTTCCCCTGGGTCAGGGTTCTCAGGGTGAGGCTGGGCACAGGCCACTGCTATGCCCAAGCCCTACACAGGGCAAGAGTTGACTGCGTATGGCCTCTAGAGTCCAGAGGTCTCCTCACCTTCTGCTCAGGATCTGGTGGCCTGTAGAGGCCTGTGGCAGGAAGACGAAGTCCAGAGCTGTGTGGCCACATGCGTAGAGAAGGATTAACCGGAAGCCACATGAAAAATGGGGGTCACTGCTAAAAGATGGGAGAATACAGATTATGATGGCTCACACCTTTAACTCCAGTGCTTGAGAGGTAGAGGCAGGCAGAACTGTGAGTTTGAGGCCAGCCTGATCTATGTAGTAAGTTCCAAGCCAGTCAGGGCTGAGACCTGTCTCAAAAGTCGGGGGTGGGTAGGGGGAACTGCTCTGATGGAGCAGTGGAGCAGAAGGATGCATCCACCCCTGTCAACTCTCTAGGGTTCACTATCACTCTTTATAGTACATGCCTTATGTGAAGGCTCATGCTAGTGGGTTGATCAGAAAAGCGACCTTGATGGGAGGAGACCAGTCAGAGTGGGAACTCATGGGACAAGTGCTTTAAGCCAAATTGGCCTGGTGTAAGGAAAGTGGGCCACTGTTCTGGGGAGGGGGTGTAGGAACACAGGGAAGTGCTGGTAGGATTGTCTAGATTCTATTGTGGGTCTCAGGATTCACCCCAAGGACCTGTTAGGGTGGCTGGTCTCTGTAACTCGAGTTCTAAGGAGAAATAGGTATAGAGGCTGGATCTGAGCAGAATTGGGCCTTGGTGAGGCTGTAAGACCAAGGAGAGAAGGTCAAGACTATAGTTATAAGGCAGCGTAGAGCTCACCCTGGGTAGGAAGGTGGGGGATGGGGAGCAGTGAGGAAAAGGTACTGGAACCAGGTGGCTGGCAACAGCTGATCCCAGCACTCATGAAAGGGCGGAGGCAGGAAGATATCTGGGAGTTCCAGGCCAGTCAAGGCTACATAGTAAGACCCTGTCTCAAGTAATAGATGAACTGGGTGTGGTGGCCCATGCCTTTGCACTTGGGAGGTGGATCTCTGAGATCAAGGCCAGCCTAGTCTACATAGTTCAGGCCAGATTGGACCTACAGGGAGACCCTGTCTCAAAAAATAGGAGAAAAGTAGTCAAGGGCTGGGAATGTGATTACTCAGTGGGTAAAATGCTTGCCTAGCATGCACGACGTCCTGTGTTTGATCCCCAGCAACACAAACTGTGTGTGGTGGCATAGGTCTATAATCCCAGAACTGGGGAGGTGATGGCAAGAGGATTAGGAATGTGAGGTTAGCCTAAGCTACATGGAACCCTGTCTCAAAAAAAAATTGGCACTTGGGAGGCAGAGGCAGGAGGATCTCTGAGTTCAAGGCCAGCCTGGTCTACATAGTGAGTTCCAGGACAGCTGGGGCTACAGGAGACCCTGTCTCAAAGATTTAAAAAAAAAAAGGGTATTGTAGCTCATACTTGTAATGCCAACACTTAGGAGGTTAAAATGAGGACCATGAGTTTGTGACTAGGCTGAGCTACTTATAGCCTGGGCTATATAGTGACTCTCTCAACCAAGTAAGTAAAGAGCTAGAGGTCCCAGCCAACTTGCTGCTGACCTATGACTGAAAAGGTGGAGGACCACAGGGAATATGGAAATTGTGGGACAAGAAGTCAGGCGAAGTGATGTCAACCTCAAATGTCACCTTGTTTTCAAGGAAATGTTGATCTATGAGTGAGCTCTACGATGATACCAAAATCCCAGGGTTCCTGGCGTAACTGTGTCCCAACAGATAAAATGACCTTGTTTGACCACCTTGGGCTGCCTAGATTTTTGTGTATCCGTGTATTACCTGCATGTGTGTAAATGCACCCATGCTGTGCAGTGCCCACAGAGGTCAGAAGAGGGTGTCAGATTCCCCTAGAACTGGAGTTACGGATGGTGGTTAGTTGCCATGTGGGTGCTGGGAATTGAGCTTGGATGATCTGCAAGAGTAGCCAGTGCTCTTCACCATTGAGCCAGCTCCCCACCACTGCTGCCTAGATTATTATGGCCCCCTTGGGGGACAGTCAATGGTGTGAGTGGGTAGAGGCAGAGGAACATACTACTGGAGGGGGGCTTACAAAGGCATGTACAGAGGTGACGGGAGAGTGGTACTGTGGCAGGCATATAACAAGCTTTTCTCTCGTGGCAGAGAGCTACAGCTGCAGGGCTTTGTGGACACAGTGATAAGGCTGAGCGAGAGGAGTAATGTGCAGGTGGCATCCGTCTATGAGGACCCCAGCCGCCTGGGCAGGTGGCTCCAGGTAACACCCCACCTCGGGAGCTCCACCTATGGAGGAGGGGAAGGGGACGGGGACATCTTTGCATCAGACAATAGCCTTAATATCCAGCCAGAGGATCACCAAGACATCACCGGCGGCACTTGAGTGGACTCTTTGAAATGACCTGCCCAAGGCGCATAAAGCTTGAGTCCAGCCCCCTTCTAGATCTGAGCACAGACTGCTTTATCTGCACGTGCCTGGAAACTGAGTCCTTAGGTGTCTGCAGGTGTCAGAGCTAGAGGTGTCTTGGCTGCAGGTGTCTGCAGGCTAGAGCTCCAGGGTTCCTTACAACACAGTGCCAGGACCAGAGCTGGCTCAGCTTTGGTGCTGGCATGCCATTCTGCTCCTTGCCCACTCAAGCACTTACATAGGCTGGTATGCCATCTGAGGTTAGAGAAGAACAGGACACCCCACTGCAGTGAGGCCTGAACCGAGAGCTGACAGAGACACTGACTGACTGGCTTAACCAGGTCGTGTAGGTAGCTAAAGAAACTTCAGATGAATTGTAAGAACCCAGGAGCTGCTGGGACTGAGCTGTCATGGAGCAATGAGGGCATCACCTCTTCAGGTGGTGGTGTGGTTGGGGGACAAAGGTCAGGGAGGCAAGAGCTACACCATGTTATGAGAAATAGTCCATGACCAGGTAAGGAACAGAAGCCAACTCAAAGCATGGTGAGGTGACATTTAAAGGCCAGAATGAAAGGTAGAGGGCTGGGGCTGCAGTTGAATTGGTAGTGCGCTTGTCTAGTGTGCATGAAGTCCCGGTTCCAGCCCAAGAACTGCATAAACGCATTATGGTACATGTTTGTAATCCCAGCACTTAGCAGGCAGCGGCAGAAGAATCGGTTGAGTCGGCCTCAGTTACAGTTTAAGGGCTACGTGAGACTTTCTCAAAGAACTCCTCCTCCCAGACACCCAAAAACCAGTCTCCTGGCTGAGCTGCAGGGAAGTTATGGTGTTGGAGGATCTGGTTGGAAGGCATGGCAGTGGGATTAGGTTACGGCGGACTTCTGGGGGTACCAGAAACAAATCAACTTGGATTGTATGTGAGCAAAGTTGACAAGGCTTGTTAGCTGAGTGGGGGAGAAGAATCTAGACTCGAGTCTTGAATCGGCAAGGGCAAGTTCAATAAAGCTTGCAAAAATAGTCACCTGGGCTGGGTTATAAGGGCTGAGCAGGAGCTGATCAGAAGTGGGGGCCGTCGTGCACCTCTTCAGAGCCGGCTGACTCCCAGGGAGCTATGCATCATACAAGAAAGCAGTTGAGAGGTGACCCTGCCTCTTCCTGTCTCCTCTAGGATGAAATGGCCTTCTGCTACACCCAGGCTCCCCACAAGACGATGTCTTTCATTCTCGACACTCCTCGAGTCACCAAGCTGGAAGACTATCCCATGAAATACTCGCTGGTGTGGAGCTGGGTTTGACTGCTCTGAATAGTCCGACTTCTCAGGCGTGGTGTTGGTCTAGAAACGATGACACACTGGGGGTGTGGGGGTTGTCCCAGGTGGCCTCTGGGGGAAAGGGGGTTGTGTCTAACACTTTAGGTCAAAAGAGTGAAACCTATATCCAACTCCTAAAACACCTTGCCCCACTGGGTCTCCTTCCAGAGCCCTGGTGTTGGCTACCTGATCCGGCAGACCAAGCACCACCAGGTGACCAGCCTGGACACCATCGGGAACCTGATGGTGTCCCCACCTGTCAAGGCCCAAGGCAAAGAGTACCCACTGGGCAGGATCCTCGTTGGTGGCAGCTTTTACCCCAGGTAAGTTGAGAGGCCAGATGGCAGGTGGTCAGGTGCCTTAGAGCTAAAGAAAATAGCTCTGTCTGTCCCCTGGTCTCATTGATTCTCAGACACCCCCAGCAGACCAGCTCAGCAGTTTCTCAAACTGAAGGATGCTTGAATCTGTACAAGACTAAGATTAGAAAAAGCAAGATTCACGGGCTGGGGATGATGCAGCACAGTGACAGTGCTTGTTTAGGATGCACAAGGTCCTGGGTTCAATCCCCGAACACTGCATAAAATTGGGTTTGGTGGTGCAGGAGGATCCAAAGTTGAAATTTATCCTTGATTTCATAGAGGATCTGAGGGCCGATCTGAGCTCTGTAAAACCCTGTCCCCAAAACACTTTGATTCGAGTTAAAATTCAGTTAGGCTGACCAGGAGAACATTTATATAAAATACGGGGTTGGATTTCTTGGTGTTAATTATTCTGAACCCAGGCAGTCCTGTGTCCTAGAGCGCAGCCAGTGTAGAATCACTTGGCTTGGGCCTGAGATACATCAGAGTAAGGGTATTTACTTTCTTACCTTTATGTATATATATCTGTGTGTATATATCATACAGCTGCAGGAGTTGGTTCTCTACCACATGGATTTTAGGGATTTGAACTCAGGTCCTCAGTCTTAGAGGGTAAAAATGCTTGCCACTGAGCCATCTGGCTAATCTAGAAATAGGGTTTCTGGCCTGTCCTGATCCTATTCCTAGTGGCCAGAGCAGTCCATGGCATAGAGGTAGGCTGACCTCTCAACAGCAGGCCACCACCCCGAGCCACACCATCTCACAGGTGGTTTTCCTTCTAGTTCGGAAAGCCGGACCATGAGCAAGGACCTGCGAGATTTTGTGTGTGCCCAGCAGGTGCAGGCACCAGTGGAGATCTTTTCAGACTGGCTAATGACCGGCCACGTGGACGAGTTCATGTGCTTTGTGCCTGCTGACAAGAGTGAGAACAAGAAGGTCTGTTTGAGGCAGGGCACGTCTAAGAGCCTCTGTCTCCATCTCCCTCGCTGTCTGCCAGAGACCTTAAGGACCTGTAGGAATTGACCCTGGTCTCCCTCTCCTAGGGCTTCCGGCTGCTGCTGGCCAGTCCCAGTGCCTGCTACGAGCTGTTTGAAGAAAAGCAGAAGGAGGGCTATGGGGGTGCGACCCTGTTTGAAGATGTCAGAGCAGACCAGCTCCTTTCGAATGGTATCGTCCAGACCATCTTTCTCTTGCCATTGGTAGAGAGGACACAGGTCATTCTAAGGTGGTGGGATGGTCCTGCAGGGACACTGGGGCTCGGGGGAGAGGGAGACACTCTGCTTTATAGACAGACCTGCAGTACCTCAGCATGTTGGTCCAGCAGAGTTACAGGTGTTATATTCTGACCTAAATGTGATGGAACATTTTGCAAAGGGTTTCTCCAGACAGGAGGGTAGGGGTGTTGGGAGGTTCTGAGGACCAGCAGCTCTGGCTTCCCAGTTTCAGAAACTTGGGGTTCTACCTCTTTCCAGAACTTCTGAGCAACAGTCTTGGGGTGGGCCCAGGAACATCCTCCTGGTCATAGGAGGTCATGGGATGCATACCATAAAGCAGACTGTACTCTGAGGTGAACCTGAGAACCGTTTACTAAGCTGCCAATCACAAAGTTTCCAGTGCAGTTGGTGAGTGCTGGACAGAGCTGTCCGGCTGAGACGAGGGGGACGGAAGTCACCATGATAATATACTAGGTTTGCCTCCCTTGAGCCAAGGGGAGTGGCTAGCAGCAGTTAAGTCTTGCTTGGGCTTTCTGGTGTGGGTTCCTGGTCAGCAGATGCAAGACACTGGACCCCAGGATGTATCCCTAGAGACTGACAGAGCCAATCACTATAATGACCAGTCCAAGGATGCACCCAGTCAGCTGGGCCAGCTTGGCATAGAACTGCCCACTGCCTCACCTTCAGGTCTGCCTGGCATCTGTTCCTTCCTGCAGGGAGGGAGGCCAGAACCATCTCTCAACTCCTGGCTGACAAGAGTTTGCGGAAGCAAAATGATTATGTGGAGGTAAGGGCCTGGGATGCAGGACTGCAGGTTCTGGGGGGTGGGGGATCTTGATCACACCTAGACAGCTGCCAGCCTCAGATTCTAGGGGTACTCTGCTCACTGGCTCTTACGGCTCCTAGACGGGGGACCATCCTGTGCCACAGTGCACTGGCACCTGACCTGTGCAGTCAGGGAGGGTGGGGTCAAGATGGTGTCTGAGGCTTTACCAAGGGGGTGGCCCTAGGCATGGTGGCAAGTAATAGAATCCTATTTGATGCCTAAAGGATGAGGAATGGAATTGGCGGCTCAGATCTCTTCCCAGAGAAAGGATGTGAGGTCTGAAGGCTGCTGCTTGGTGTGCCCCCCACCCCCAAGTTCCCACTTTAGGCAGACCTGAGGGACAAAGGAAGACACTAGGAAGCTGCCAAGCACTGCTAGTCGTGAGATCCTGGCCTGAGCCCTGGCCTTTCTCTGAATCCTACTTCACCTTGGGAAGGGCAGCTGTGTGTTCTGGAAGGCTGGCACAGCCCACAGGAGAGGCCTTGTGTGTGTCAGAAGGCTGGCATGGCCTGTGGCGTTCTTAGCTCACATTGAGGACTTGAGCTCCAGGGCCTTGTTTGGGTTCACATGGAAGGGGCCCCAACCTGATAGGCTCACTTCATTGCCGGTCCTCCCATCCCTCTGGCTCAGAAGTGCATCAGCCTGAACCGTGCCCTTCTGAAGAAGGAGCTGGGCCTGGTGGACAAGGACATCATCACCATCCCCCAGCTCTTCTGTCTGGAGCAGCTGACAAATGTACCCTCTGACCAGCAGACCTCAAAGTCCTTCGCAAGGCCATACTTCCCGGATATGGTGAGGCTCACTGGGCACTGCCTGGCCGGCAAGGGTCTGCTTGGTCCACAGTGTTGGTGCCTGGCTGGCCACGGTGCTAGACCACAGCACACAGTGGTACCTGAGAAAGTGTGATGGGGTAGGAATCTTGTTTAAGGTAGAAGGGTGATGCTCTCACAAAGCAGGCCCCAGGCCAAGAGCTTCTGGGGTTTTGGTCAGCTTGTCAACTTTGAAGGGTCAGTTCAGAGGCTCCCTTCACGGATGGGGATTTGTGCTGTAGGGATAGATGCTGGCAGAGACCATGGGTGAAGGTCTTGCCCTGTTCTCAGGGTCCAGAGCAGCAGCCTCTTAAGATGGAGCTGCTCAAACACAAAAGAGAACACTATTCCTTGAGTCCACTAGAGGGTTGGGGATGTTTGCAGAGGTCCCTGCCACACAAAGCCTGTACCACACCAGGGCCTCAACCAGCTTTACCTGGCCTGGCGGTTGGAGGCATTAAACACCTGTCAGCCACCTCTAGACTCTGGGGACATAGGCCCTGCATCCAACCATGTGGAAACCTAACTTACATCAAACGAGTGGCCTGAAATGCCAGCCTGATGTAGCCTCTGGGGATGGAAGAAGGGGGGGGGGGGGGCGGAGCACCAGCAAGGTTTGCTGCTGGTCAGCCCAATGGAAGACTAAGCAAAAACTGACATCGATTTAATGATGTCTGGGCACAGGCTTGCACAGTTCCAGGTACTTGCAAACATTCTCCCTGGTCTGGCTAACCATAAGGGCTGGGTTTTCCCTGTGTTTTAACTATGGCCGCCCCCCATACCAGAAGGAAGGGTTAGGAGCTGCTCTTACAACACTCTGATCCCCTTGTCTGACCCTAGTTCCCAACTGTCTAACAGTTGCAGATGATTGTGCTGGGCAAGAATCTGGGGATCCCCAAGCCTTTTGGGCCCCAAATCAAGGGCACCTGCTGCCTGGAAGAAAAGATCTGCCAATTGCTGGAGCCCCTGGGCCTCAAGTGCACCTTCATTGACGACTTTGACTGCTACCTGACCAACATAGGGGATTCCTGTGCTTGTGCCATCGTCCATCGGGTGCCCTTTGCCTTCAAGTGGTGGAAGATGATTCCTTAGTCCCAGGCCACGGAGCTGCCACCTCTGCCCCAGAATGAATGGACTTTATCACCAACCAGCAGCATAGCATGCGTGATTCCTGGTCCAGGGGTTGGGGGAAGTGGGGAGTTAGGGTTCCTTGACCCTCACATCCACCAGCTCAACTGAAGCCGCTAAAGCGGGAAAAGGGGTAGAAAATTGTCCTCAGCTGAACTTAATACACAGCCAATAAACCATAGGCATTGATTGCAACTGGGGGAAGCCGCCTTGCTTTGGGGAAGAGCAGCTGTCCCACTTGGGAGGGGCAGGATGTGGCTCCATGTGGAGTCACTATTCCTTCTCCGACTTGTTAATGGGCAACAGTTGGACTTTAATGCCTGTGGTTGAAGCAGCTAGGCCACACTGGACCTAGACTCAAGGCTGTGGAGGTTGGAGATGGGACTCTCTCACACGTCTGGTCCAAGCTGGAGGAGATAGGCCCAAGTGGAGTGGCGCTGACAGGCAGCTGGCTCTGGCAGATGGAAGCTCTGGTCTCCTTGATCTGTCATGTGGCCTGAGGGACAAAGGATATTTGGGTAGGCCTGGGCTGGCTCTTGGGCAGTCCATGCCCCCTCCTGTCTTGCTGCTGTGAGGAGCAGCTGCTGTCACAGCCAAGGGCTGTGTCTGAGAAAGCTTGGTAATCCCTAGGGTTCTTGGTCTCTTGAGAGACCCACTAGAAGTCAAGTGGGTCCCACCCCACATGAACCAGGGGCAGAGGTGGGTATGGAACAGAACCAGCCACAATCTCATTCCCCTGGGAATGGTAGGTGGCAAGAGGTGCCTGGCCATGTTCACAGGATGGGGCTGTGTGACTGAACAGCTGTTATCCCGGAGTCCCACTCAGTGACCTCAGCCTCTTAAAGGTATGTGGTGTCCTACATACACAAGTGTCACTGTCAAGGTCTTGTTGCTGCACTAGCTTATCTCCCTTGGGTTTCCTCAAGAGTGTGGGGCGTATCCTCTGCCTCTTACCAGCCGTGCCTTGTCAGTTTCATACAGTGACTCTGGGGAGTTATGGCTTATATGGCGGAGAATGTTGTACCCCTTACTCTATTCTGGAGCCTGACAGGACAGGCCTTTAATGTCCAAAGGTGAGGGTTCGCTGAGGTCAAGCCCCCGCCCCAACATCTATGTCTACTTGTATTTCTGGATAATCTGAAAAAGCCAAATGGACAGGGCTGGAGAGATGGCTCAGCGGTTAAGAACACTGACTCTTCTTGCAGAATACCCAGGTTCGAATCCCAGCACCCACATGGCAGCTAAGTATCCGTAACTCCAGTTCCAGGAGAATCGGACAGCCTCTTCTGTCCTCTATGGGCATTGCACGACACAGGTGCACTTATACACATAAAAATACTAAACCGAATGGAGATTGGACCCATCTATAGGGACAGGGAAAGCTTGGCGGGGGGGGTCAGCACTTACCTGCCCTGTCTTGGGGTTCTAGTCCTGGAACACTTGCCCACCTCTCACAAGGGCCATGAACCAGAGCCTCCCACTGGGCTCTCATGCAGCCAGGGTAGCTTGTCTGGTAAATTAAGCTGGTAAGCTGGTCTGCTTCGACTCTAGCAGCACAGTCCCTAGGACAGGTAGAGGCATTCTCCACAGGGGAGGCAGATTCATGAAACTGGGTCCCAACAGCTTATGACCTCAGGTCTGGCTGCCCTGGGAGTGGCCAATTTCCAATGAGACTCCTGTTCAACAGCACCTTGACACCAGGCTTACCTGTTTCAGTGATGCAAATGTCCCCTGCACCTCCCTGGAGTGAGGGACTCTAAGTGTTCTGAGACTCATACCCTTACCTGGGGTGGTGGTGCAAAGGGTGGGAGGGATACTGGGACTGAGGCACACCCCAGTACCTGCTGCACACTGCAGTCCCCAGACTCCATTTACAACTTGGAACCCTGAATCCCACCTTGGTGTGGATCAGAGTGCCTTAAGGACAGAAGGGTTAAAGTACAAAACCTATGTTTCCCACAGCCATCTTTTATATGGTTTTTCAAGACAGTCTTGCATAGCCACAGCTAGTTTTTGAGTCAGGGTCCGTGTAGCTCCAGCTGGCCTGGAACTTGGTGTGTAGACCAGATTGGCCTTATCCACCTGCCTCTGCCTCCCAAATGCTGGGATTAAAGACTAGTCTTGACAGTTCAGTCAGTAAAGGCTTCCAAGCCTGACAACCTGAGCTCAATTCCCAGCACCTACATGGTATGAAGAGTTGACCCCAAGTTGTGCAATGCCCACGGAGATCAGAAGGTGTCGAATCCCCTGGAACTAGAGTTACAGATGGTGGTTAGCTGCCATGGGAAGTCCTGGTCTTCTGCATGAGCAGCCAATGCTCTTAACTGCTGAACCATCTCTCCATTCCCCTACTTTGCCTTTTAAAACACTTGGGGATTACTGTCCCATGTGCTCTGCCCACCCCTGCTGACCCTGGCTGCCTGGACTCTGCTGCTACTGTCCCTGGTCCAGCGACCAGATAACACTTGGGCCTCTTCAATACTGTAGTCCATTAAGAACCAGTCTTGTATGACCCCTCCTCCCCTGACAAGTTCCTACATTCCTGATAGTGTGCTGGAGGTAGGTTCATTAGCCCCAGGTAGGACCCCATTGATCCCCCTCTGCCTTCATCCTCCCTGTAGCCTAAAGAGCTGCTGCTGACAGTGCAATGGCTACGTGAAGGTTAGAGGTGGGGTCTCTTCAGCTCTGCAAAGTAGTCAAAGGGCTCCCTGTTCCGATAGGATTGGGCTCCTGGAGGGTGGTCAGGGGGAAACTGGAGCCTCTTGGGCAGGGCTCCCCACATGGGGCTTCCTCCCAGCCCCCTTTGCCTGTGACACAGCCCACTCTATACCTATACTTTATGAACCAAGAAACCAACCAGACTTCAAGGTGTACATTATAGGAAATGACAGGGCATGCAGGTGTACATTACAGGAAATGACAGGGCATGCAGTGTTGTATCTTCATGTCCATCTGTCCCCTACCCCCACTCCCCAAGCCCAGCTGACTGTCTCCTTTGCTAGGTCAGCAAGTCCTGGTCTTGCAGCATAGGACAGACTGGTCTCCGAGCAACCCCTGGTGGGGATCTGGCCAAACTACACCCAAGAGTGGTACTGAAGGGGCCAGGTACCCACAGCTCTCTAGTGAAGAGTTTGGGGGTTGTGTGTGAATACACTCCTGGTTTAAAGTGGGGGTGCATCATAAGGCTGGGGTGTATATAAATAAGTGCAGCATTAAACATGCTTACTCAGTAGGCACAAAGCCCTAGGTTTGATCCCCAGCACTCAAACCCAAAAAAGCCCAAGATGAAACACCTTGGGTCAAAAGCAAACTTACCATCCCCTAACCTATGGAGCGTCATGGTTATCAGACCTTCCAACACATTCAGCATGTTCCTGTTAACCTAGGGCTGGGTAAAATTTAATCACACTAAAGCCTCAGGTGCTGCTGGGCAGGGTGATGAATGCCTATCATCCTAGGACCTAGCTGGTGGAGGCTGGGCCACATGAGACCTTGTTCCTGTCCTCACTGCCCCCAAAATAAGTAAAAATCCCAGACCAATTATGGCTGACTGGGACTCATCCTCTCTAAACCTTTGACAAATCCTTAGCCCTCCTCCCTTATGGCCAGAGTCAGGGCTTCCCAGACCCCTCTAGGCTCTAATGGCCCAGGAGCTGCCCCCACCCGGGCTTTCCCCTTCTGTAGACAGTCTTGGTTATGGGGTGTAAGCAAAGAGGCTGAGACAGCACTGCTCCACACACTCCACGCCGCTGAAGAGGAAACAGCGAAACCGAGACAGAGTAAACAATGATGCTGTTTATTTAAAATGTTTACTCCAAGAAATATATATAAAAAAAATAAGACAATTAACAGCACTAAACCAGGCACCTTCAACCAGATCCCAACACCCTCTTGTTCCCTCCTTCCACCTTCTTCATGAGCCCTCCTTCCTGACCGGAGGACCAGAGCCCACGGGCCAGGCAGAGCAACCCACCCAGGACTTCAGTATCATTCTCCTGTTCTAAAGGGGTTTCCCTTTGGGGAAGCTCAGATGAAAATTTTAGGCAAAGGAGGCAGGGTGGCCAGGCACAGGGGCTGTCTCCTGGGAGGTCCTTTCTACCCTTCCCTGGAAGGGGCTCTCGCCAGGCTGGCTGGCTGCTGGTTTTAGGTTTGTTCCCTGGAAGATCTGAGCCCAGCTCAGCCCAGGGTCACTGCACATCCTCAACCCTCTGGGTGACCATACAACTCCAGGGAGACCTCCAGGGTACAAGGAGCAGACACTGAGCAGAATTCCAGAACTCGGGTCCTGCACACATGGAAGTGAGGGGAGGTGTCCGGGGGACTTGGACAAAGCAGGTTAGTTTTGCTGAAGCACTGCTGGGACTTGCTACCTGGACTGATTACAGCCAAATACAGGATGGGACAGTGGGAATGCAATCCCATTCCTGCAAGATCACAGCACCAGCCAAGAAACACACACATCCCCGGAAGGACAGAAGCCACTGTGGAGTGTGGGCAATGGAGGACAGGGAGGACAGCAATGACTACATCATTTTTGGCATTTTAACATCGAGACAGTAACAAGTGGTCACAAGAGCAAAAGCAAAACCAAAAGTTCAAGACCAGAATTTAACTTTCCCACCCACCCAGCCTCACACGTAGCTCCCTGTCCCTCTCCTGCAAAGCACCACCAAGCTAAACCCTAGTTAAAGCACCCAAACCAGCCCAGACCCTCTGGAAGCCAAGAGCCCCAGCCCGAGCCACCGCCTCACTCGGGTTCTCGAGGAGGGATCCGGGAAAGGCACCTCGGAACTCAGCCACGCAGTCAACGCCAGGACGGGCTCGGGCAGAGGGCACTTGTGGGGGACGTGGGTGGCAGTCACAGCATCTGCGCTGATGTGTGCAGGGGACTTCGTCAGGAATCCCAATTATTTGGTACCAGAGCCAAACAGATGCAACCAAAGAGCATCAGGGCCAAGTCTCAGAACAGGGCGGCCGTTCCACAGCAGGAGCGGACAGGTGAAGCACACAGGCGACAGCAGTGGGCTTGACAGAGGGCTGGTCCATCCTTAGAGGGCTGAGAAAGCACTTTTGACTGCTGGCTGATCAATCTCTAACTGGCAAGCACTAGCAACAGCCTGGGCTCCACAGGGAGCCATAAAACCAGGCCTTCAACAAATGCAAAGGTTCCCCACCTCTACCCCACCCCCTGCACCCCATGGTTCCCTGGTTCCAATTCTCATCTGGGCTTCTCTGACAGCTAAAGTAGAGATAAATGGCTAACACAGACCCCCAAAGCCCCCACCAGGGGGGAATGGCTAGTTCTATGAACACTTCAGCCAAAAGGCTATGGGTCTTACAGGCAGCAAAGACCAGCAACAGCATGAGCACCAGCCTCAGCCAGTCTGTGGGGGGAAAAGCAGGCAACTGACCAGCCTCCCAAACACACAGGCGGGAGTTTGCATCGAGACTGACCACCAGGGACGTCTCGGCCTAGATGCTGCTGGTTCCTGGGAGGGCCGTTTCTGTCTGGGAAAATGGCAATTTTTCTCCCACGTGGCACCCACTCGGATCACAATGCTAATTAATTACAACTGGAACAGGAGGGCTGGGCAAGTGTACTTAGGAGGGGAGAAAAGAAATACAACTTAAAAAAAAAAAACTAAATTGCTCAAAGTTCCTGCCTCTTTGTAGGCAAGGCAAGCCAACTATGAGCAAATATTTTAATTAAACATTGAGAGGCGAAAAAAAAAAAAAAACCACTTTGGAAAGCGTACAGAAAAACGTAGTTAACGTTGAATCACTTAGAAAATGGAACCTCAGGGAGGCTTACGAAGATGCACCTTCGGTCAACTTTTGCTTCCTAAATTCCTGGTCTGACTTCCGGTCCCAGTGCGCATGGAACGACAGCTGCCACAAGGGGAGGCAGGCGCCACCTCAGAGGGTGCGCGGGTTGTACTCGGGCAGCCTCTTGATCTTCTCCTTCTCCGCCTCGCTCTCATCCCGAGCTATCACCAAGGAGTGTGAGTAGCCCATGGCCACCTGTGGAAATGAGCCAGTGTCAACTGTGCACAGGCATCTCACCACAGAGGCCAGGGCACTGGGACATCCGCTACTGGACTGGCCAAGGGGGAAGAGAAACCGGGCCCCGGGAACTCAAATGAAACCCCTCCTCCCTCCTTCCTAAGCACAGTTGGTCTCACAAGACAGTGACATGATGCCTTTACAGATAGAAGCTCCACGAGCCCTATAGGCAGGAACTGGTGGGGGGACAAGGGATAAGATGGACACAGGTACACAGCTCCTCGGGCCTCTCACCTCCCCAGGAAAAGCCCCAGTGTGCTTGTGATTCTGTGCACACCCTTCTGTGTCAGCACGGTCTAGCCCTACCATCTGCCTCCCACACTTTCTGTTCAGGGGACCTGTCTCTGACCCCAGCCTAGTAGTGTGTACCCCAGTCGTGGGTAGCAATTTGATGGAGCCAGGAGCCAGGCTCTTGCCCCAGGAAACAAATCTGCTGTTTGGACCTGGCCAGCATTCCTCTACCCCTCTCTCCTACTGACTGGATGAGGACAGGAAAGATCTGCAGACTGTGAACACAAACATAAGCAGATGCATAGACTCCACTCACCTGCTCTGAGAAGATGCCGTCCAGAGTCTTCACCTCCTGAGCTGCAGTGGAAGACTTGGGCTTATGGTCCCCGTATCCCTGGTGAGACAAGCAGAGATGCTCACAGAAACAGGGACGGTAGCAAGGCCCAACAGAAGGAAAACTCTGGGCATCTCACTCACCAGAGCCACTCAGCAGAACACAGAGGAGCAATTGTTTTTTAATTTTTAATTTATTATTTTTATTTTATGTGTATGCATGTATTGCCTGCATGTAGGTAAGTACACCCATGTCATGCAATGCCTGCCAAGGCCAGAAGAGGCTGTCGGATCCCCTGGGACCGGAGTTACGGATAGCTGTTAGCTGCCATGTGGGTGCTGGGATTCGAACCCGGGTCTTCTGCAAGAACAGTCAGTGTTCTTAACCACTGAACCATCTTTCCAGCCCCTGGCTTCTGTTTTTTTGAGACAGGGTCTCAGCATGTAGTCCAGGTTGGCCTTGAACTTTTCTGCAATCCTTCTGCTTCAGCCTCCCCAACTCCTATGTGAGCCACCACACCTGGCTGTCCAAATTCCGTTTCTGATGGGCCCATAAAGCCATCCATCTTCCCCGAGAGCAACGCAGAGATGAAGGAAGGTTCTTAGTCTCTTTGATGCCTCAGAAGAGCACCCCCACCCCAGGTCTGAGAGCCCCAAATACAAGTGTGCCCAGAGCCCTGAGGAGCGAGTGGCCAGTAGAACCCAGTGATGATCTAGGGATCAAAGGACGGCCTCCCTTGTCCTGACGCCACCAATCAAAAAACACTCGCCCAAGACAACCAGGGAAAGAAAGAAAGCTGAAGACAAGAAAATAAATGCAATGCCAGGCATTTATTTTGAGACAGTCTCAATGTGAAGACTGCGTGGTGGCGCACGCCTTTAGTCCTGGCACTCTGGAGGCAGAGGCAGGCAGATCTCTGAGTTTGAGGCCAGCCTGGTCTACATAGTGAGTACCAGGACAGCTGGGGCTACAGGGAGACCCTGTCTCAAAAAGACCAAAACAAAAAAAACAAACCAAAAAAAGAAATGCAGATAGGCCACCACGAACCAAGGCCACTGCTTCTGACTCACTCAAGTCACTGAGGTCAAAGACAATGTCCTCAAATCATCTTTGTGGCTGGCCTGAAGACATACTGTTCCACGGAGCACAAACCAATGGCCACAGCTGCCTACCTGGGCTCAACAGCTGGAGGACAGGGGTACTGGAGACCCAGTGGCTGAGGGAGACACTGCTTCCTGGGGCCATGGACCAAGAGCAGGGACCTCTCCCATCACAGAACACAGGGACAAACGGAACCCTGACTGCCCACTTGCTCCACAGTATGGACAGCAAGCAGTCTCAATACCTACCAGCCACTAAACCAAATGTAACCTCCAACAATAAAGAACAGGGTAATGGGTCCTTAATGTACAAGGAAATACCACCCCTTTTCCTCAAAGACCAGTCCACTTCTCCCACTGACACCCGCAGGCTCACCAGTTCCCCGAATGTCGGTGATGGGCCCCAGCTGATGGTGCTCTCATCTGCTGCCACAATAATGCTGCTTTTCCTGTAACAGACACAAGCTGTCACCACCCACCTTGTGGCCAGGGACACCCTACCAGGCTACCTGTACCACTGGCCTTGGGTCAAGGACACCTGTTAATGCCACCACACACCCATCTCCACACTGCAAACTTGGTAAGGGGCAAGAAGGCTCTCCCACCCAAAGACAGTTCCATCCTGTGCAGGGTCAAAGCTGGGGCCTCAGTGCCCACCCCTGCCCTGGCTCCCTTGGAGGGAGGTCCTTTGGGAAGAAGCCACACAGGGAGAAAGTGACCAACCATTCTCAAGGGAGAGACTTCATACACAGGACCTGGGGGTGGGGGGGACACAGGGGACCAAAGAGCAACAGCTCAGAGCCAAGCTGTCACACACCTGGAAGTGCTGGGTAAGCTAGCAGGTGCCCTTCAATGAGGACCAAAATTAAAAGGTTCTCTTTCCCTTTCCAGTATCCCTAACCAAGAGGAAATAGTTAACCTCTGTGTTTTCACTCACAAAAACTTTCAAAATGACATTCTTTCCATAAAAATGCAACGAGTCACTTGTCCTGATATGGTAAGGCCCTTTGGTAAGGCCCTTACTCTCTCCTCCCCCAGACCTCAGGAGTTCAATACCCTGGTACCAGCCACGAGAGCTGGTGTCAGCAGGCACATAAGCCCTCCCAAAGAAATAGGCACCTACGGGTATGTGCGACAATGCGGGAAGAATGACACTGCAGGCCCCAGGCAGTGCTGCCACCTACCCACAAGCCAGGCTCCGGATCCGCCAGCCACAGAGGTCCTGCACGGCCTTCGGGTACATGGTAGACTCTCGGGAGGTGTTGGTGGCCCCCCAGAAAAACAGGCCACCTGGAAGGAAGCAGAACATGTTAACATTGCAAACAGGCATCTCAGGAACACCAAGGCAGGAGGTGGATGACGGACACCCTGTTTAAAAGGGTCCCAGGAATGAAGCGAGTTAGGGCTCAGAGTCAGGACAGACAACAGCTCTGGGGTCCCATGGGAGCAATGACCCACAGAGAGGGAAAACCTTGGCTCTGACCATGGGGAATGGAAGGGCCCTCAGGCAAGGGAAGCCAGAACTGACCCACTTCACTAACGGCAAAGGAGCAGGTGTAACCCGCGTAGATCTGGGTCGCACCCCGTCCTGGGAAGTCGAAGAGCTTCACCAAGCGAGGCACCATTTCATCCTTCTGCTCTGCATGGCCAAGCCGGCCATAGCCGCCAAAGCCCCAGGAGAAAACACGCTTCTGGGAGTCCAGGACCAGCTGCAGGGACAGGAGACACAGGATTGGGACACACGGGCCTCCACAGAAGATAGAGAGGGGTCACTGCTTCTGTCCAGAGGACCTGGGGGCAGCCGTGGATGGTAGAGGCAGATGATGAAGAAGCTGGACGATGTACACCACTGCCTGCCTGGTGGGAGGCGATGTGGGGAGCAAGCTGGCAAAGTGTGCAGTCGGTATGCCTGGTGCTGGTCTTGCTGCAGGGATGCCATTTTTCCTTTTCCTCTTTTTAAACTGCAAGTGTGTCCCCTTCCTCAAGAAGCAAAACAGCTGTCTGCAAGTCGGCCGGCAACCCTTTGCTGCGCCCCTTGCCAGATACAGACAGGTAAGCGCCACCCCAGGCCTGGTGAGGACAATGTGGACGTGCCACTGTCCACAATCGGCCTTTTCTTCTGTCTTTGAGGTTTCACATCTGAACCCTAAGAAATGTGCAACTCACTAAAAACCAGCATGGGACTGAGGGAGCAGCTGGGGCGGGGGAGGGAAAACCACTCACACAAGCAGCCCCAAGCAAGGTCTGGCCACTTCCTTGAGAACAGAACTCTGGCTTATGGGCTTGCTGGCCTGAGACATCTGCAGCCAATCCACTGAGTACCACCATGCCGGCAAGACAGCAGTCAAGAGCTCTCAACTTGGGCTCTTGGCTCCTTGCTGATATTGAAATGGAGAGATGGCTCAGCAGTTAAGAGCACTGAGGACCCAGGTTCAATTCCCAGCACCCACAAGGTGACTACAAACTGTCCTGAACTCCATTTCCAGGGGAATCCGAAGCCCTCTTTTGATCTCCGTGGCATTGCACAATACAGATGCACTCACACACATGCAGGCAATACACTCATATACATAAAATAAAGACAAATTTAAAAAAAAAAAGAAATAATAATCCCAGCACTTGGTAGGCGGAGGCAGGTGGATCTCTGCAAGTTCAAAGCCAGCCGGATCTGCATGGTGATCGAGGCCAGCCAGGGCTACATAGTGACCCCCCCATCAAGAGAAAAAGAGGAAGGGGGAGGGAGAGCCATTCTCAGCAAAGTGCTCAAAAGATTGATAGGCAGGATGGTTCAGTGGGTAAAAAGCACTGACTGCAAACCTAGAGCCGAGAACAAAGGTGGAAATTGCCCTCTGCCTTCCACACACACTTCCCAGCACATGTGAACACACCACACACACCAACAACAAACAAAAATAGCCCCGGGAGCAGGAAAGACCCAACGGATTATCCTGCAGGCACTATTCTGCTATGCTAACCTTTAAGCAGAGTCCCTCAATGAATGAAGAACTATTCTTGGCCCCAGCAGAGGGCACTGTCACCTGGAGAAGTGCCCTCGGGGCTCATCAGGCAAAGCAGGAGCATGCTTATTGTGTCACTGGGGGATGTTCATGTTTAGATGTGTCTCAAAGTGTCACTAACAGCAGACTCAGGAGTCGTTGACAGAACTCTACTGCACGCAGCTGAATGACAGACTGAGTAAGGCAGGATGCCCACCCAGAACCAGCCTATACTGCGTGGCTCTCGGGCAGTAAGATGAAGCAAGCCTCACCGTGTGGTTGGCACCACAAGCCACATCTCGAACCACCACATTCGGGACAGGCAAGATCTGCCCGTCTTTGGTCTTCTCGATGAAGATGGCCACCCGCCGGGGCACCAGCTCACAGTCATACTCTATCCGCTGCGCCCTTGCGATGAATTTCCCATCCGAGTTGTGCCCTGTGGTGAACAAAGCCAGCCCTCAGCCGTGGCATGAGGTGCCGCAGCAGGGCCAGGAAACAAGCCCACCCTGCCCCACTCCACCACGGCCACCTGGGCTCTCAGGCTTCTCTAGCCAGAGGTCCAGCCCACCCAGTTGGTCACGAGTTTATGGGTGTGGACAGGTCATTCTTTTAAAATGAACATAAGGGCTGGAGAGATGGTTCAGCACTGGCTGGTCTTGCAGGACTCAGGTTTAGTCTTCAGAACCCACATCATGGTTAACAACAGTCTGTAACCCCGGTTATAGGGGACCTGATGCCCTCTTCTGACCTCCACAGGCATCGCATTAAGGGATGCACTTACATACATGCAAGCAAAATACACACATAAAAATTAAAATGTAAATAAAAAAGAAGTTTAAAAACATGAACATAATGAAATCAACAATGGACACCCTTCCAAGTAGGGGTTAACTTGGGAAACCCCTTACATATATTCCACGTGGAATCACAACAGTGGGGACCTCTGACCCCAAGAATAGTGCACAAGCCTCACCTGTGCCCACCTGGGGTGTGTCAAGGAGCTGCAGAGGGACTAGTATAGACACAATCATTCAACATGTAATGCTCCAATTTCTCTCTATGAATTAGCAGTGACCCATACGTACTGTCAAAGGAGGCAAAAGCCTGGAGCTCACAAATGACCTGGCAGGGATAGGAAGTCACACGGGGATTGGGGATGTATTATTAGTTCAATTAATTGTTGGTAGAATGCCAGCCTAGCATGTACGAGGTGTGGGCTCAATCCCAGCACCATAAAACTGGCACTTGAGATGTGTGCCTGTGGCCCAAGGACAAGCTCAAGGGCACTCTGGCTCCTTGTGTTGGTGGCATCCCAGGAGACCATGCTAGGCTACAAGATACAGTCTTTAATAAAAACAAAAACGAGCAAGAAGGGGCTAGCCTTGGCCCACTAACCAGGAGCCAGGCTGTTTGCAGCCTAGAGAATAGTCCAGAACATTCTCACTCCTGGGGCTGTCTCAAGTGGCCACTTCATCCACATAGCAGGGAGCAGCCTGTCGGCTGATGCACTGCCACAGCAGGGCCTTGACCAGATGTGATTCTGTTCTGCACACCAGCCCTTTATGGGCCGCAATGCATGGGTGCTGTACTTCAGGGAGATCCCTAGACCCCAGCCTAACCCAGTATGGCAGGATGCTGGGCTTCGCTTACAGGGCACTGCTGGGGCCAGCTTTCTTGTAAGCAGTTAGGATCTCCAACTCTGGTCCTCAGGTACCTGGGAGGCACTTGTCATCTGAAAAGCCTGAGGGTCTTGACCAGGGATCTCCCCGCCTTTTCCGGGCCTACCACATTTTAGAACATCAGTCAACCACCGCATGCATTAGCATATGGGAGCTATTTCTTACACCCACACAAAATGCTGTTTTAAACACTGCTTTCTGTTGACTAAGTTTCTGCAAAGCATTCAATACCAAGAGTCCCTTCACTTTCCTATCCAAGTGCTGGCTCAGACTATCCCCAGAGGGCAGGAGACACATCCTGGAATTCTTTTCCTTCCACATCCTTTGAAGGAGTCACACACAACACTTGGCTGTTCCCAGAGTGCAGGGCAGCAGCTCTTCCAGGAAGTGATGGGAGGGGGGGCTTCCCTGATCCTAGTAAATGCAGCAGAGCATGATGGAGCGTGAGCCCATGAGACCTGTGCAAAGGTATCACGTACGAATTCTAAAGGGAATCTATCAATCTGGACTGAAACAGGAGCAGAAATATGGGGTGGGGGCTTTAGTTTTACTTCTAAAAAATGTACCTCTATGTGTGCATGTCTGAGTATGTGCACTTGTGTTCAGGTACCCCTGGAGGCTAGAAGAGGGTGATAGAGCCCCTGGAGCTGGGGTTACAGGCAGCTTTGAGCCTTCCAACAGGGGTGGCTAGGATTCAAAACTGAAGAGCAGCGAACACGCTTAACTGCTAAGCCCTCTCAACAGTCACTTGGCTTTTTGTTTTTAAATTGTATTGGGGGATGGGGGAGGGGAGCATGCGAGTGCAGGTGTCCACAGAAGCTAGAGGTTGAAGAATTCCCCAAGAGCTGTAGTTACAGCTGCCTGACTTGAGTGCTAGGAATTGAACTGGCCTTCTGGAAGAGCAGTATGTGCTATAACTGATGAGATACCACCCAGTCTTTATTTTTTGAGACAGGTCTCACTTTATAGCCCTGGCTGGCTTGGAACTCACTACGTGAACCAGGCTGGCCTCAAAATTGCTGCAATCCTCCTGCCTCTGCCTTTCAACTGCTGGGACCATAGGCGTGTGCCACCACTCCCAGCTCTGAGTAGACACGTTTTAGAGTAAGCTGTGGAGTTAAGAATGAGAAGTTCCATAGATGAGCACCAAGTCACTTCCTAACCTACTACAGGCTGAGCACATAGTGCTTACACAGTCCCTTCAGAACTGCCCCACAAATGCCACCCTCTTACACTTAAGATCACTTTCCTGGAGGAAAGAGGACTGACTAGAATAAGATGCTCAATCAGCTTCTAAGGAAGCCCAGGGTGGTGGGGGAAGCTGCACACGTAACAGGAGGCACAGAAATGTGCTTCCTGAGCTGGGCCTGGGTATGGCAGGAGGTCGGTGACCATGGAAACCATTTATCCAACAGTCCCGGTACTCCCTGGCAACCAGCACAGATGTGTGTAAGGGGCTGGTCTTTCTTACTCACTTCTGACTTGCAGTATATTTAGTTTCCCAGAGTCACTGTTCCCTGAAGTCTGAGGCCAGCGTGGCGCTCTGCCTTCTATTTATACCTTCCCATCTGCGCACTTCTAATGACGCTGGGACCCAGCAAACTCAGATCCCAGGGCAGGTGCAGGCTGTTCAGGCACCAGCAGGGGGCGCCCACGCCTCACCTCCTGCTCAGGACTGGAGAAGGCGCAGGAGCAGAGGGGTGCCGGAAGAAACAGGAAGAAACAAGGTGTCGGTGTGGGATGGAAAGGAAAATGGAGAACTCACAGGATTCGGGTAGGGAGCTTTGTCCCCTCTCAAGGAACTGCTACCCATTCCTTTTTTTCTGCTCTATGAAGCACTGGTTAACATGCCCGAAGGGGAGTCCACGCTGGGGAGAGATGGGCTGTTAACAAGCAGACCCCGCTCCTAGGACACCAGGTGTAATCCTGGTTTTCAGAACAACCCCACCATCACACCATTTTCGCATTTCCAATAATGGTAAATGTGAAAGGAGGCAGTTCGGTTTTAGTTACTTTTCTTCCCTTACTTTGAGATCCTAACTTATACAAATGGATTTCTGAATCAGAAAAAAAGGAATCTTTTGTCTGACTCCAGTCCTGATGTTTCTGCTGAAGTAAATGCACTGTGATTCTCTATAACCCTGTAAGTAACAAGTTGTTCCACTAAACACGAGGCCCACTTAGTGGATGAAGGCTATTATCTGGATCAATTACCCACGCTTCTAACATGTGTGCAGCCCCACACTGACTTCTGGCTCTAAATTCACAGTGAGATTTCAGAGCTGTTAAGGAGCAGACTTCCATACCCAGCTGGCCATACTCAGGACACCCAAAGGAGTAGAGGTTCCCTTTGCAGTCCATTATCATGCTGAATTCAGCCCCGCAGGCCATCTTGGTGATGGGCTGGCCGTTGTACATTATCTGAAAAGAAGACAGCAAGGCTTTCAGACGTGGTTTAGTCTCTTCCTGGGCCCTGGTGTGAAGCAATGGTCACGGAGGTCACAGGAGACTCTGTACTACACATCTCTAAAGGCCAGTGCCCAGGGCATACATGGAACACAAGCCTAGACTGTGGGGACACCAACTCCTGGTGACCCCCCTCCCAGGACAGAAGCCAAGAATGGGAACTCGTGTTCTGGGGTTCCACTGAGGGGGCTCGAGGAGCTCCACGTTCAGTACAGCAAGGGAGCCAGGGCTGGAGCCACAGAAACTCAGACACCCAAAAGCTCACTTCTGGGGCCAATTCCCCATCAGCCCCAACTCTGAAAATGCCATGCAGTGCTTCGGCTATTACAGTCCACCAGTTATAATGACCTGTTCCACAGCCCTTCTAACAGCTCTCCAGTCTTAAATGAAGGTACACACGAGGAATAGAACGGTTCGAACAAGGAGACCAAGACAGCAATCAGCAAAGGCTGTGCACAGAGCACAGGGTTTGGAAACCAAACACAGAACCTGGGAGAAGCCCAGGCAGAAGCCGGGAACACAAGCGGTCAAGTGCTTGCTTGGCCAAGCAATGGGGCAGGTGAATGTGGCCCATGCTTACTCTGCAAATTGCCTAACTGCACTCCAGAACAGGGCTAGAAAACAGGAGCCCTTCAAACCCTCTAAACCCTAGACTCAGCCACCAACCTCCCCCATCACTGGAGCCACTCACTGGGCACTCAGCACTTGTGCCTGGGAGGAACTGTAGGTTTGCCAGGAACAAGGAAGCCTCTTCTGTGCTCTGAGCACCTGACTGAGGGACTTCATAAGATCAGAACAAAGTAATCACAGTAATCACAGAAGACTCTTACACCCTGGACATTTCCCCCTTTCCTTGGAACAGAGCTAACTTAGAACAAAGTCTCTCCACCCACATTTTTCCTCAGGAAAAGCTTCTCAGGATGCTTATCAACCTGATCTGAACCACGCCCATCTGATGACCAGTCCCCCTTTCCAGTCATACCTGGGCCGGGCTCGGAACAGCATCTGTCTGGTTGCCGAGGCCCAGCTGGCCCATCTTATTCTCTCCAAAGGCAAACACGGAACCAGTTTCTAGAAGGAGAGAAAATCATCACAAAGGGAATGTGAGGGTGAATGCTTTCAACCAGGCTGGGCATCAAAGTTACCAAACAAGCTCATCTTCCAGGCAGGGCATGAGACAGGGGCAGGGAGGAGGGCGGGAGAGCAGAGTCCTGCTGCACCCCAAAACCCAGAGACACTGTGGGGGCTCTCATTACCCTACTACCCCCGAGAAACCGCCCACACTACCAGGGCTCCTGGGCATCTTCCTGACGCTGACCAAAAGTCACTTGGCAGCTCTACCCATCTCCCAGAGGAAAGTCCCTACGGGCCTTTTGCCTCAGAGGGAAGAGAGCCAGCCACCTCCTTACCCGTCAGCGCCAGGGTGTGGTTGCGCCCACATGCTGCCAGCACAATCGCCTCTTGGCTGAGGGCCTCGATGAGTCTGGGGGCTTCCACTCTCTTGGTGTCACCATGGCCCAGCTGCCCCTTTTCATTTCGACCTGCAGACAGATCACAGCTGGTTAAGTAAATGGCGCAAAGACATGCTAGGTGGCATGGCCGTCTCTGGCTCCCAAGCCCAGGAGGAGAGCTCCCTCCAACAAGCCCCGCAGTGAGAGCCAGGGGGAGAGAAGGCCCCACTACTCTTTCCAGGCACACCATCTGTCCCCCACGGCTGTGGGACACTGCCCCTGCACCTCAGGGTCAGTGTGGTACACTGTGGCTTCTGCCCTTATTTCCCCTTCCATCTGCACCTCCACCCTGCACCACAGGCCTGCTCTCAACATGCCCCCTCCCCCACTACAGCTGTCTCACTGCACCTGTGGGTGTGAAGGCAAGCCTAGGGGTCCAGTCCCTGCAGAGGCCTTGGCAATGCACCGGGGCGCTAGAAGACCAGATTCAGCTTAGGACAGATGCTAGGTGAAAGCAGGGACAGGTGAAACCCCGAAATCCTACCTAGGTTCCAAAAGATCCAGAACAAAACAAAGCAGGACACCTAGGACCCTCACCCCTTAGAGTAACCCAACATGGATACTTTACAAAGCTGAAAAGTGGGTAGGACTGGGGTTCACACCCATCTTGTCCACTGATGGGCTTTTCCCTCTAAGTCGGCCTAGGTCATGAAGGTCACCAGGCTGTGCCCCAGCACCCTGAAGGTGGCACACAGAGATGGCAGTAGCCAGCCCTCAGGGGGAAAGTTCTTGGGAAATGTGCATCAATAAAAGGCCGGCACTGGGCAAGAGAGGCAGGTGCCAACTTTCAGAGGGGCCGCTGCGTCCAAGTCCACAGTCAAAGACCGGGCTGTGTGCAGGACAGGGCTCAGTGAACTAGAGTGCCCAGTGCCTCTGTCTATGGTCCAACAGTGGACTCACCACACCCCGGGGTCCCACAGCCCTGCAGCCACTCAATGGCGCCCCTTTCTCGTTCTGGGGGAATCACTGGCTGTGCAATGCTCCTGCCACAGGGTCGGAACCACTGCATGTGAGTGGATCCCTGAGGTGCAGAGGGATGCCAGGACCAGGGACATCAAAGGCCAGGCATGGCCTGTGTGGAGGACGGGGCAGCAGGGAGGTGGAGGAGGGGCCCTGCACCGAGAAGAAAACAAAAACCGGGGCAGATGTCGGCGTGTCATCAAGAGCCTGGGAAGGATAAATTTGGGCCACACACACTCGCTAGCTTTTTTTTTTTTCAACATAATTACAAAATTAGCAAAGTGCAGAGAAGACAGCACATGTTAATATATTTGGACTTTGGTACAGCAGCTCTTTCACACAAAAAAAATGGCTCAAACAGACCTATATAAAAACGTAGTCATATGGAATAGAAGCTAGCCAAGGGCTAGAAACAAAGGAGGGGATGAAGGCAGCTCATCCAGCTGCAGAAGCCCTGGGATGAAGTGTCCGGTAGTGCCTTATAGCCTACCTGGAGAAGAGCGGCCTGCGTGTGTATCACAGGGTCATAGGAAAGTGGGGTGTGAGGGAGGCAGAGAGGGAAGGCTGGGAGGCACCAAGAACCCAGGCAAAGAGAAAGAAAAGGGAACCGAACCAAGGCTGTGGGCAAAGACCCTGTGAATCAGACCAACACAGAAGCTGCGAGGACCCTGGCTCAACACAGGGCCTTACGACAAGAGGTGCCAGCGAGTGGCGTTTAGTGATGCCACACTGCTACAGAGCAGGACAGGCCCAACTGAAGGCATGATGGGCCTCAAGCAGGGGGCTGGTCAGAGGGACCCCAGCAGGAGAAAGCTCACACTGTACAGGAGTTCAGGAAAAGGTTCACAAAGGAGGATTCCGAGAACTAGAGACAGCTCAGCACATTAAGGGACCTGAGTTCGATCCCCAGAACCCACGTAAAAATGTCGAAGGCGAGACATGACTCCACAAAGGCGTTCTGACTTCCACACATACCCGCACACACAGAGCAGCCATGAATGCAGACAGAAAGCAGAGCCTGCCTGTGTGACCTGCACCCAGTACTTACCCCAGCTCCACAGTTTCCCTTCTGTGGTGATGAGGAGGCTGTGGGCGGCACATGAACCCGAGACCACCGTCCGCACCCGGATTCCTGACAGGCACCCATATCTGTGGGGTCCCCACAAATTCTGGCCAAGATTGCGATAGGCAGCTGCAAAGGAAAGAATACAAATCAAACCCCCGCGGAGCACTGGATCAGTGGATTGGTAAAGAGCACCCAAACTTGCCACCCGCCATCCAAGGTCCACTTCCCTCGTGTGCCAGGGGCCAGTGCTCCTCAGGGGGCCATGCTAGCACAGTGGTCTCTAATCACCTGACAGCCCAAAATGCACACCAACCTGGCGTCCACCTCCAAACTGATGGTGCTAGCCCAGCTCTCCTCAGACCCACACACAGCTACTGCAAACATGTCCCTGGCACAGGCCAGGGATTGGTCTTCCAGTTCTGCTACAAGGCAGGGTGGCCTTCCTGCACTCTGTCTGGTGAGATATAGGGCTTAGACACATCGCAAGCACCATACCTGAGAACTCCTGCCTATTCTCCATAGCCAGAAGGTAGAGGCTTTCTTGGCCTCCACTAGTGTCCCAGTCCACAGACCCACCAGACTCCTTGGAGGAAGACCCTGTTGCCATCCATCCCAGCTCCAACCCTGCTACCCAAAGTTCCACCCATCCCCAGGAACCTTGGCCTGTTGGTCACCTGATTCTTACTAGGCTTCGAGTGTGTCCTTCCCTGCTCCCCACTAACCCTTCAAACATACTAGGAAAGCCACATCTGACTTGGCACCATGCCCTTTAATCTTTGCCCCCTCCCTGAGCATCCCACATAGTACATCTAACCCCATGACAGGCGACAGGGACCAGACAACCATGGTGTCCCCCCTCATCAGGTTTCAGCAATGCCTGGCACATGCTGAGTATCCAGTTCCTCAATAGAGCCCAGAAGGAAAAGAAACTGCTACTCCCCGCCTTTTACACTTCCCCCTGAGGACAGGGGTGAGGCTCTTTTTTCTTTCAGTTTGGAGCTCTGGAAAGCACCTCCAGACACTGGCAACAACCTTGAGAAGCTAGCCACAGTAAGTCAAGTGCCTCAGACACCTCCCTGAGAACTGACGAATGATGAAAAGGCTTCCCATCCCCAACCAGTCAACCTGGGAGGCACATCCTCTATGTCTCCCTGCCAACAAGGTAAAACACAAGCGCCCCCCCTTCTTTCAGTTTGGAGCTCTGGAAAGCCCCTCCAGACACTGGCAACAACCTTGAGAAGCTAGCCACAGTAAGTCAAGTGCCTCAGACACCTCCCTGAGAACTGACGAATGATGAAAAGGCTTCCCATCCCCAACCAGTCAACCTGGGAGGCACATCCTCTATGTCTCCCTGCCAACAAGGTAAAACACAAGTGCCCCCCCCCCCCCCACCCGCCTTTCCATCATACAGCATCAGAGGGCTCCATCAGACCTTGGAGCCACACCTAGCCTGCCTATACCACCACTGAAAAGTGCTAAGCAAACCAGTCTTTTCCAAGAGACAGAGCAAGATGACACTCATGTGCTGCTAAAACTCTGAGGAGAATGTTGGATGTGGTGGCGCGCGCCTTTAATCCCAGTACTCCGGAGGCAGAGGCAGGTAGATCTCTGTGAGATCCAGGCCAGCCTAGTCTAAATAGTAAGTTCCTGGCCAGCTGGGGCTACAAGAAAACAAACCAATCAACCAATTCTCCTGAGGAAAAGCCCGAGGGCAGCTCCTGACATGGAGGACAGCAGATGCACCAACGGAAAAGTAGGAAAAGAGAACACAATGTGTTGCTCAGAAAGAGGTGGTACGAGGGGCAGGTGTTCCAGGCCTGCAAGTTATAACTGTTCCCTACCTCAGGGGGCACCAGGGGGCAGAGCAGAGGGATGGCCAGGTCCCAGCTGTCCCAGAGGCCCAGGTTTCCCAGGTGCTACAACCCTGTCAACGCTCCTCTCCCTGCGGAGGGTCATCAGCCACAAGGGTATCAAGGTCTCTCCTGTTCCAAAGACTCGTCTTTCAGTTCAGAGGGGTCTAAGTCAAAGTCAAAACCTAGTGGTGCCCATGGCTCCACAGCCAGGACTGGGAGACAATCTCCATGGTCTCCAACCCCCAGGGCCTGGTCATCTTCACCACAGGCTACAATTCAGAGGGACCTGTATGCTGCCACTGAAACAAGGGCCCAAAGACAGGGTGGGCGAACAAGTGTCCCTCCCACCCTGTCCCGTCCCCCCGCCCCCCTTGTAGCACAGATGGAGATAAACCTTGCCTGACAGCTCTGGGGAGCCCAAAACTACCTAAATGCTTACAAAGTAATACATGAAATTACATAAACCTGACTTTAGAGAGCAAAAGGCCAGAAGTGAAGGTGAAGATGGGGGCAGAGGACTAAACTGCAAGGTGCCTGCGTCGCTAGCTCGCTCTACCCAGGACCCTTGGCACAGCTTCTAAGAGCCTCCAGGCTATACAGAGTGTGGGAGGCAGGGGTGACTGTCAGATCGAGATGCCCCTGCCAAGTCTATGGGGCAAGGGATACCCTGGAGCAGGGCCCGGTCCCCAGAATCTGCTGGTGTGTGCTCCCTGCCGAAATGGCCCCTCTGCTCGCTCAGGACTGGCAGATGCTGGCACAGCCGCACAGCCTGGAGGTGTCAACTGCGGAACGCTGGGTTATTTTCCACGAGGGGAGCAGCATTCTGTCAGCTCCATCTCCAACATGCAGGATCCCTTCCATCTTCCTAGGACAAGACGGACGCCAAAGCCCCGGGTTTGGGCGCCAGGGTGTGTCAGTGTTCAAATATTTGTTCACAGGCAGAGCAATGCTGGGAAGCATTTTGGGCGTGCTTCCAAATGAAATCGAGAGCCATAAAACATGGCACTAAGCCAGCCCGCTTCTCTCCAATGGTCCGGCTGCCCCTAAGGAAGGGCACCCAACTACAGGCATCTGGATACAAGCTGGCACCACAGCACAGGACCAGCCTTTTCCTTGAACTGAAGTCTCAAGGGGGCGAGGCCATTTGAGGGTACTATATACATTCCCTGTGTAATCTCAACAAAACTGGTTTCAGAAGAAGTGTGAAAGCAGACTTGCATGGGAACAGGGTCCAGTTCAAATCCAGCTCCCTCACTGGGGTAGCTGGGTGGCCCCAGGCAATTCACTTGGCCTCTCTGAACTAAACTGTAAACACAGAGAATACCTACCTGGTGGGTAGGCAATGCACTCCACTGGACACCTGGTTAATAAGAAGCAGTTAATCATCTTTCAGAAATCATTTCTCATACCTTGCTGTTTAGGCACTTCCTTCCGACCAATCAAGTCCCAGTTGGTTGCCCCAAAAATCAAAAGCTGCCCTCTGCACTTAGACCCTTCAAGTTTCTAGAGAGAAAGAGAAGGAAAAGAATTAGCTTGTTAAGGCTGCTCCTCGCTTTCCACAGCTGTCCTATGAAACGAAAATTACTTCATTTTTTTGGAGACAGGGTCTCACCCAACAACCCTGCTAAGCCTTGACTCATGAGCTTCCTGCCTTAGCCTCCTGAGTGCTGGGGTTACAGGCATGTGCCATTGCAAAGCTTGAAAATTATTACTGATGCTTTTACCCAGGGGCTCTGTACACTGATCAGAGGTCCTACCCAAGCACCTCTTCATCTGTGTGCTCCAAGGTGAGTGACCCCAAAACCACCATCAGTCTTCTTGCTATGAGCTCAACGCTAAAACTGAGCCAAATCCCATTCTTCCTGAATCTGTGCACAGAGATGTGTACAAGACCAGCCCACAAGGCTGGGGACCCAGGGACGTGTGATCCTGGGACAAGCTCTATTTTTCCCAGTGTGGTACACAGGTGGCCTTCCAACCTGGAGCCCCACTTCACTTCTGCATTGTCACCTTGCCACCAGCCACAGGAGCTCCCCTGTCACAGGAGCTTTTCAGTGGGGTGGAGGAGTACACGAGACAGGTGTACCTACCTTCACCAGGAGAGGTGGATAAGGCAAAACAGGGCACAGGGGGCCTTCCAAGGGTTGAGTCACTGCTGCCCGAAAGCTGGGACCAGCACTGAATGGGGAGGCCTACCAAGCCTCCAGCCAGAGTACCCTCTCCCCCGTTTTTGAGACAGGATTGCTACCTATATACTTCTGCTGTCCCACGTCTCAGTGACCCTCCTCCTCAGCCTCCTCGGGTGCTGGGATTCCAGGCCCGCAACACCACACCTGTCTGTCCAGGACACTTTTGTTCTCAATACCCAGCAATCTTAAACATAAAAAAAATCACCAGGGATACGGAGTCTGCAACTATTCATGCAAATCTGGCATTTTAATAAAAGGCCATTGCCCAATTCTGGGCTGTATCCATTAAATTCTTGGTACTCTGCTTTCTTAAATGTCAAAATACGTGGGGTTTTTTTTTCCCCTTTCAAAATACACTTCTGGGGTGCTGAGAAAGCTCAGTGGGTAAAAGTGCCTGCTGTACAGGCCTGACGAACTAAACTGAGTTTAGTCCATAGGACCCATGGTGGAAGAACAGATTCAAAAGTTGTCCTCTAACCTCCACACATAGTATCCATGGGCTGTGAGTGTCCACACTCACACACATGCACTTTATATACACACACGAAATTTTATACATACATACATATATATATGTATATTTTTCTTTTTTTAAAGAAAATACATTTTTTGTTTTGAGACAAGGTCTAACCACACAGCTTACGCTGGCCTCAATTTAGAAAATCCCTCTGCCTCTTAAGTGCTGGGATTACACCTGGTTTCAAAATACCCTTTGTAGAACTGGAAAGATGGCTCGGCAGCTAAGAGCACTTACTGTTCCTGCACAGGAGCCAAGCTGGGTTCCCAGCACCCACATCAGGCAGCTTAGAACCACCTGTAACTCTGGTTCCAGGAGATCAAAGGCCTTTGGCCTCCATAGGCACCTGCATGCACATGGTGCAAAATAAACTCACACAGGCACACACACATAAAATTAATAAATCTTTAAAAACACAGAACTGGGGCTGGAGAGATGGCTTGGCAGTTAAGAACACTGGTTGTTCTTGCAGAAGACCTGGGTTCGAATCCCAGCACCCACATGGCAGCTAACAACTGTAACTCCAGTCCCCGGGGATCCAACAGCCTCTTCTGTCCTCCACAAGCATTGCATGACACGGGTGCACTTACCTACATGCAGGCATAACACTCATACACATAAAATAAAAAAATAAAAAATAAAAAACACAGAACTACCCTTGGTACGATTATTGTAGCCTGATGTGCAGTGCATGGTGGACCACATGCCTAGCAAAGGCCTGGCTCTATCCCCAGCAGCAAAATAAGCAGATAAATAATAAATGTAATTAAATAAAGTGGATTATTAGACTCCATCTGCATGCCCACTTGGTGCCTTCTCTTCTGCCTGTGCTTCCCCGAACTACCATCCCTGACACTAAGGGTAAGGAGGCCCCATCCATTTGGGGAGCTGTTCTTGGAAGGCTTGCAGTCAACAGGAACCCAACAGCAGCTCCAGTTCCAACTGATCCAAACCTACAGAGGCCCCGGTCAGACGTCCCTGACAACACACTCCACAGCAGACACATTTTATTTCTCAGGGAACCTGACCTCCAAGGTGCCCCCACGGGCTGTCCCATGCCAGTTTCAATCAGGTCCATGGGAGAGGAGGAAGAGGCCGAGCTACAGGACCAAGGCTCAGCCAGCCCAGGGCCCCAGAGGGATGGAGCCTGCCTGCTAAATTATTCAGATCTCACCTGGGGCGTGGAGGCAGCTTCCCCAGGGCCAGACTCAAGTTACTTGAATGGATGGAAGCCTACTTTCCTGTTATCTCTCCTTAGTTGAAAGGCAGGCGTGGCTGGAATATTCTATATTCTATAAGCCTCTGGGCCCCAGGTCTAGGATCCCACAAACCCATGCCTGTGCTCCACTATTCTTTCTGTTAGCCTTAAGAAACACAGGAAATAGAGAGAAGATAGATGAGGGCCTAGAAGCAGCCACAGTCCAGGCAGCGCCCTGCACCAACAGCCCCCAAAGCAGACACAAGTTCAAGGGCTCCCATGCCCCAGCACTTACCACTAAGGTTTGTCAAAAATGCCCAGCACTGAGATGCAGATACAACAAGAGGCGCTGTGGCCACCCCTGGATCTCAAACTCCACCAGGCCAGGTGGGGTTCAGCTGTGTGCGGGCAGCTGGTACCCACTGCCACCGATATGGCTCCTGTGGCCTTTCCTGGCAGCTAGGCATTTAGCAAAATGCCCTGCCCTTCTGAAAAAGGTACTTATGGGAAACCTTGCCTGGTTCCCTCAAAGGGCATGAACTGCCACCTTGGCTCACCTTTCTCTATCAAGGGCCCTGTATGGAGGTAACTGTAACCATTTCCCCCATCATCTCTTTAGCTTAATTCTTCCCTCCCTCTTACAAGGAATAAACTATTTAAATAAGGAATGCAATTCATAATATTTCAGTCAATAATTCACAATATTTCTGTTGTTATGGCCACAGACCTCCAACAGCCAATCATGAATGATCCCAGAGGCCTACTGGCCCTATCCAGGGGGATTCCAGTGAGCAGAAAGATGGATGTGAAGGGTGAGAGGCCGGGGTGTGTGGCTGTGGCATATGCAAAGCCCAGGGTTCAATCCCAAGCATGGGAGGGAGGGGAATGCAAAGGGAAAAGAACAAGGTTTTACTGCTTTCCAAGGCTTAACCCAGACTCCACCCAAGGGCCAGGAAATGGTTTTGTGGATGAACGTGTGACTGCCACACTGCTTTCGACTGAGGCCTGCAGTCAAGCCTGCAACAGACCAACAGGACAAGTGAACACTTCACCTTGCTGCCTAACAATGAGTCACGACTGTGACATGGGCCCACATGAATGCGGCCACCACAGACAATTCACTGAGCTTCTTCAATCGACAAAATGGGATTTCTGGGCCACAGCAATTTCTCTGAATTACTGCCTGAGTGGAAGAGGCACGTTTTCAAGGCTGAGGGCCAACCTTTCCACAAGAGACTGATGCTCTGGGAGGAGGCAGGTCCACAGAAGAGATGTCAACAGGCCCCAGTGGGCTACCAACTCTCCCACTTCAAGATCAGCCTTCAGTTCAGTACACTGGCTTCTTTCAGAATGGGCTGATGGATCTCAGGGTTCAAGAAACCTTTAGCAACCCCAGACTGGACACCTGTGCTTCGCACCAATTTCCGAGGACTCAGCCAAGACTCTTGTTTTACTAGCTCTGCAAGTCTGAGGTCCCACAAGCAGCTCCCTTGAAAGACAAAATGCTCACCCAACACAACCACCCCAGATCCTAACAGAACAGCCCAAGACTGAATTCACAGTATCTGTAAGCAGACTACTACAAGAACCCCTCTTTCATGCAAGACAGCTCTGTCCCCAACAATGTAAGCACGTGACTCACTCTCCCCAAGCCCCACCCAGCTGCAGGTTCAAGACAGCGAAGGCAAAGGCTGGTTCAGACACTTGGGCAGAGGAACCTCCTTCAGCAGCCCACAAGGTTGCAAAGACGAAGAAGCCCTTCTGAAGGTGAGACTACTGCAGGGCCCCAGTCTGCGTAGCAGAGGGAGACCATGGCCTTGGGCCCCGGACCAATGGGCAGACTGTTAGCCTAGGTCTAAGGGAAGAAATGGGGCTGCAAGGCCGGGCTCTGAGGCTAGACCAAACTCAACCATCCTAACAGAGGCAGAAACTCAAGACAGCACTTTCCAAGTGTTAACAGAGAGTCATCTGGGTGCCCCCTGGATTCACCCAGTCTTGGACAATGTATTGACCAGCCCCAAGATGGCTCAACAGTCTTAGGTTTTTTTTCCCCCTGGTCTTTTTGAGACAGGGTCTCCCTGTAGTCCTAGCTGGCCTTGAACTCAGCCATCTGCCTGCCTCTGCCGCCCAAGTGCTGGGATTAAAGATGTGTGCCACCATGCCCAGCTAGCTTTCTTTTTTTTTTTTTTTTTAATGGAGACAAGATCTCATCATGTAGCACTGACTGGCCTTGAACTCAAAGAGATCAGCCCACCTCAGCCCCCCCCAGTGCTATTAAAGGCAAGTACCACCATGCTCAGCCTCTCTAGCTTTTCTAAGGTGACCAGACCAGCTTTTTAAGTTCCTGTTTACAAACACACTCGCATAGAAACAGCAAATTTAGATATACATACAAACCACCAAGAACAAACTGCAGTAGACTCTACTTGGAGACAGAATCTCCCCTTGAGACCCAAAAAAGGTGCGGTTCCATGAGGTAAACCAGGTAGAGGTGGGTCTCTTGAGCCCCTCGACTCTTCAGGAGATCCTAGCAGAGTAAGAATCTTTTTCTCCGGGCCACAGACCCTATTGATCTAGCAGTAGACTAACGCTGCCAATTCAGAAAGCGATGTTCCGCTTCAACCTGGCTTTCCCAAACTCATTCAAAACCCAGTACAGGCGGCAGGACTCCCACAAAGCCTTGTCCTGATCCACAAAGGGGAGCGTGGGGGGAAGAGGGTGGGAGAGCAGATGTCCTGCAAAGTTGATCAGACTGGCCAAAGAAAGCAATTTGTAGGTTCCTTTTTCAAGAGTCTACCTGACTAGACCTGCTGCGGTGCTCCCCTGCGCACCTAGCCTGGGCCTGCCTTCCGTGGGAGGGCCGTCGGTGAAGCATTTTCACAGGGCTGTAAAGACTACCGACCTACTGTCCTTCCTATCTCCGAACTGGGATTTCCTTACCTATTTCTAACCCCTTGGAGCAGGCCCGGGCGGCTGTGAGGCACTCAAGACCCCCTTAACTCCTTTACAGAGCAGCCTTAAGAAAAGACCCTCAATGTCAACTTCCAACCCTTTCTGGGGTTAACTGAGAACCCGGTGGGAAGCTTGCAAAAAAACATACCAAACAAAAGTTGGGGGGGGGAGTTCTGGTGGGGGCGGTGCAGACCGTAGGCCTCCCTCCCACGGGCTCTGCAGGCTTTCAAGGTGGACGGGCCACGACCTTCACTGCGACGGGAGCAGTTTGTCCACTGGCCCACAGAACGTGCTCCTGCACAAGCCCGAGCCTGCACCCCATACCACGAGCCACAGGAGGCAGACAAAGCCCAGCACCTCTCAGCAGTGGAGTGGGGAAGTCGGACGTAGAGGTGGGGGGTGAGGGGGACTCTCCAGGCCCAGGAGGGCCTCGGAGGAGCATGCGCCCTTGTACCCTTCGGCGCCCGCGGCCCCCGCCTTTCCCGTGCGCGCCAGGAACGCGCAGGGTGCACACCGGGCATGCGCAAAGCGCGGCAGGCCCCGCCCCCCCGGGGCGCCGGAGCCGTGGCGGCGGGAACCTCAAAGCCCCGGCGCGAGCCGGCTGCTCCCCGCAGGCCGCAGGGAGACTAGGGTGGGGAGGGTCACGATGGGAGGGGAGAACCGGGATGGTGGGATGGGGGGACATGCAGACGAAGACACCACGAGTGCAGCGCGCGGCCCGTCACCGCTGCCACCGGCCGGGGAGAAGTTCCCCAAGTCCCCGAGGCGCGGAGGAGGGGAGCGCGCGGCGTGGGGCGGGGCGGGGCGTGACCCCCGCGAGGCGGTGGCGACGGCGGCGGCCGCCCCTCCCCCGCCAACG